ACTTATTTGACAACGTGAGTCATTAGAATTCTAGAACCGAAAGGGACCTTAAAGATCCAGTCTGATTGAATCATGGGGATTTGAAAGAGCTAAACCCCTGCTGTTGAAAATGGGATGACCTCCTCATTTTAGGTTGCTACATATTTTTATGTGCTGAAAGGAATATGCTAATATGAAATTTATTTTCCCATTTCCATCTCCCTAGAAGTAGAAAAAGATGAATAATTCTGAGGCATAGGAAATTAAGAAGCAGATTCTCTATAATTTAGTCTTTTTTTTTTTTTTTTTTAACTTTGTATTGCTATGTGATACTTGCCTTGCCTTGGCCGAGAGGACCCGACTAAACTTTGTTGGACCCCTTAATTATTTACAAGTCAAAGCTTCTAGAGGTTCTTCCTCCTTATAGAGAGAAACAAGTACACTATCTCTGTTTTTCCTTGTCTCGGAAGATCGGAAATGAATTTGCTTCTGTGCTAATAAGATCTTTTATTAGGCCATGGAGATGAAATTAAGTTTTCCTTTTCCTAACACTTAATGATTTCAGTTTCTCATTTAGTTCTTGATCTTGACATACTCATATTGGAAAAAGCAAATACTGTCAAATTAATTGCCCACTTCCAGAATTCAATTTCCTTTCTAGCTTTAGGTTCTTGTTATATGAAAAACATACACACAGTTTATGAGGACAGACTGTTCAGAAGCAAATCAGAATACTGTGTTTTTGGAATTAAATATAGCTATGGGAAGTAGAAGTTGAATTTCCTAGTTAAGCTTTTGTTGGTAGAATAATTCTACCAACAAAATAACCCTAAAAAACACCCCTGTAATTTCTTTGATGGTTGAATTAAAATGTGTTTTCTCAGTGGTGTGAAGGTTGCAATGAGTATATCATTTATCAAGTGAGAGACTGAACAGTTTTTTTATACTATATAATCTGATCTCTTCAGGGGGGAAAACTCTCTCCAGAAGGAGTTGTAGTTACATTTTATATTTCAAAGTCATTGGTTTCATTCATTCAGACAAAACGTTTAACTTGGTAAGAACAAGGGTTTATGCTTATGTTACCAGTTTTTCTTAGATGGTTCAAACTGGCCTTCTTCAGTGATGGGTATCCAAAAGTTAAGGATTGAAAAGTCAAGTTATTAGTCAGTGAGGAGGTAGGTGGTTGCTTTTTGTTAAGTTGGTTGGGGACCAGCCTATGAATTTTATTTATATAGAGAGCAAGTATGATTCAGGGTATGGTGTGACACCAGAGAGGGAGTGATTTCAGCAAAGAAGGTGGAGTAATAAAACATTCTAAGCGACGATCTTAATGCAACCCTTGATTTTCTGTGAATTTTAAGGAAAGATGGCTAAGAATGTGAAAAGAATAGGTGTGTGTGTGTGTAAATGTTGGCACACACAATATGCCCATTCTCTGCCCTCCAAGGCTTAATAGTTAGCTGTATAGACAAGGTTGTTCATATGAAAAATAATACAATAATTAATAAATAACAATAGAAGAATAAACTCTGTTTTTCAGATACTCACAACTGTAGACCTTCTTTTGCCCCACCGTGCATGTTAAACTCACTGCTTTGGTTATCCACATCCTTGATCAGTGACCACTTTAAAAACCCTGATAGTGATATTGATTGAAGAAGACTATCCTTTGTAGAAAAGTTACTAGGAGGAAAGACGGCTTGAAGAAAATTCTCTACGTGAATGGCAGCTTTATTAGACATTAGCTATTAGTAGCTAGCTTTAGCTATTAGATGTGATAGCTGATTTTCAATGTAAACCTTTTTTTTTTTTTTTTTAAAAAGAACCTGGTTGGCCTGCAAGGCATAAAAAATAACCTTGGTAAAATGAGAGATTCCAACACTTTTTAACAGCTAACAATAGCTGTCAGCAAAACAGGGTTAAATGATTTTCAGCAGAAGTCAGGAGGCTGCAGAAATTCTATCTCTGGCACTGTGTAGAAATAGCCACAGGGTAGTGCACAGTTTGCAGTCAGTTTGTTTTTCTTCATGTTTCCCATTGTTAAGATGACTAGAATTTGGAATGCATTTTCTTACAGTATTATAAAGAGACTTAGGATTCTGGACTAACCTTCAAAAACGTCTTTAACCTACTCAAGTAATAGTTTTGTTTCACCTCCCTTTAACTTCTGATTGTACCATGGAAAATGTATTCCTGTGATGGGGGAGATGCCTGATTAAATTCTTTCCCTCTTCTTAAAAGAAACTCCCAGTCAGGGGCATTGAGACATGGCACCCAGTCATAAACACAAACATCTTGTATAAAGCAAGCATTTTTTCAAGGTCTTCCTCTTCCTGGATGTTTTGAATTGAGGCATAAGGAGATACTGGGTCTCTGCAGGGGCAGGAAGTCCAAATTGCTGCCCTCTTCTCTTTGATTGTATGAGTCATTTGTGAATTGAGTCAGGTACTTCTTTTGCCAGGATGGAGGAGAAATAGCACATTTTTCATGGTTTTGTTTTGTACAGCATTCAACAGAGGTTATGTGCACAGACTAAGCTGTTTGATGGCTTATTTGCTTTTGTGTGTCCAGCACTTAGCTCAATGCCCAAGACAGAAAAGATGCTGTGATTCTTTAATGAATGATGAATAAATGAATGAATGACTAGCTGACCTTCATGAACTGCTGTAAATTCTGCATGGTTTTCAGATTGTGGTAATTTGATAAGTACATTATTCTTACAGCAATTGAAAAATCGAATTGTGGATTTTAGTGCAATGAACTTTTCTAGTTAGGTTGCTTTCTCATACCAGAGCCAGTGAGTTTTCTAAAACTGTGTAAGTGGGGTGGCCTAGTTGCCATCAGCTCCACAATAAGGCAGTTGTTTTTGGCGTAGTGGAAAAATAAGCAGAATAAAGAGATTGCCTAACCAAATTTTGTTGCCTGAGAACAAATTGTAATTTTCCAAGTTACACACAAAAACAGGTCCAAGTCTCAGTATCAAGGAAATGTTTCTATTTTAGAATAATAAGCATTCTTACTTTTGACCTTAACTGTAAGCCCCACTGTTTCCTAATCATAATCGTCTTCGTAAGCCGTAGGAGGACTACGTATAGCAGGATGCTTGGAACTCAGGCTGCCTGAACCCACAGCCCGCTCCATCCCTTACTCTTCTGTGATCTTGGTCAAGCTGTGAACACTAAGTGATCTGTTTTTCACGTTGTAAAAGGGGGATGATAAAGGATCTTTGTGATGCTTAAGTGAACTAATGTCTGTAAAGCACTTAGGCATATAGACACGCTGCATTCACGTTAGTTATGTGATGACATAGATATGCTGCATATACGTTAATTATGTGATGACCCCTGTATGTGCAGTACATCCTTTTGCCCCTTTGCCTTTCTTTGCTCATGTTGACCGTTTTCTTAAGTATATTTGCAGAGTTGCTAGCCACTTTTTAAAGACTTGGTTTAAGACGACTCCTTGCTGTGTTTTTTCAGCTCTCTCGCGCCTCATCTGAGTCCCCATAGTAATCGATGACAGTGCTCACCATGTGTTATAATTACATATTTGTCCTCTAAACCAGCTACACCACAAATTCTGTAAGGAGCATGTTTGTATTTTTCTCTGTTCCTGCTGCACATGGTGCTTAGCAGAACATTTGTTAGTTGCTTAATGAACACATATTTGGAAACCTTCTGTAAGTTGTAGAGTGTTAATCAGATGATAGTCCTCAAGGACTTGATATATGCCTTGCAGTGTGCTTGGTGTATTAGAATGTAGTTATTTGGTATCTAAATACCATTTGTATCTAATGGATTTTAGCAACTTGTAAGGCCTAATAGATGGAAAAGATCTATTTCTTTCCTTCCTACTATAGGCATTCTAGATACCAAGTTCAGTCCCATTTTTAAAATTGATTCTTCCCCCCAGAATTTTAAAGCTGGTTGGTTTATGTGGAGAGTTTTATTTATATTTGGTAATATTTTAAGGGCTAAATCTTGGTGACTAACATTGCAAGCTTACATGTCGGGCACTTAGGACTTCACTGATTTAAATCCTGTAACAGCCCTGCTAGGTGGAGGTACTGCTGTTTTCCAGGCTTTTGTGGTGCAAGAACTAAAGCTTATAGATTTGGGGTAACTTGCTCTAGGTCACAGAGCTGGTAATGCTGGATCCAAGATGAAAACCTGGGTAATCTGATTCTGGGGCCTAAACTTATAAGTCATGCAGCTGCTTGCTCTTTTCACATTTTATTTTAACTTAATCTGTTTTTTAATTTGAGGTGATATAAAGCATCTAATATTTGATTCAGAGTAGATGATCAAAAAATAATTTTATTCCTTCGTTCTGATGGGATACCGTAAGAGAGAAATTAAAAAATGTTATATAAAAACAAGTAGCATCAATAATATAAGGAATCATACTCTTGAAACCTATATGGGATTTTTAATTTCTTGTTACAGTGTTTGTTGAACATCTTATTTTAATCCACAAAAATGTTCTCACGTGTAAGAAATCACAGGATATCAGAAAAAAGGTGGAGAATAGATCTGTCTTATTTCAACATTTAGTTTTCTTTTTCATTGATACCTTGCCTTATCAAAAAACAACTCACTTTTTAAGACGTCTGCGTGAAGTTTTAGGTGTTTTTGTCACTGAGTATATTTAATTTGTCTAATGTCTTAACAACTATTGTCATTTTGAGTTTTTTTTTTTTAAAGTCACATTTGCAGTTTGATTTAAATGTGATTAAACTTGCTGTCCAGTATCTTAAGATCCAGATAAGTTGCACAGTTTTACTAGGCCATAGATTCGGAAATTCAGGTCATATGTTTCCTGGTTATTATTAAATAAGCAATATCCTGATGTAGTATAGTTTACCATTACTTTCTACCTCACCATCACTATTACATTTATGTAATATATATCTATATAATGTTTTATATATATCAAGGGTTGGCTTTAGGTTTCGAGAAAATGTTTTAAAATATTTTAAGCTCTATATTTCATGTAAATACTTTTCTTTTTGAAAATAGGTAAATCAACGAACTGGGAAGATGATGGTTGGGGAACATGGGAGGAAACAGAGCATGCCCTGCAGGAACCTGTAAGTCTTTATAAATATATGGATGCTTTTCGATAGCAATGTTTTCCTTTTGAAATGAGGTTGACATATTTTAGTGTTAGGTTGACATTTTAAAATCTTTGTCAAGAACATTTTTGTGCTTACTTAACAATACTAATTACTATTTAAATAAAATTATACATTCTCCCCCTCACCCCTGCCCCAACAGGAGTTATGTTTATAGCTAATGGATGCATTTAATGTTCACTTGAGTAACTAGGTAGGTGGTAGTCTTTGTGGAAAGCCAAGGTAGTCTCTGGTGCTGCTGTTTTTGTGTTTTTGAATTTCATGCTTCTCTTGGGAAATTAGCTTGTCAAATGATGGTGTTATTTTAGGATCAGTACCTTCCAGGGAGCAGTATTGGTGACTGTGGGTCCCGTTACTATGGGGAAGTTTTCAGAAAATCTAACTGGTAGGCAGATGCCCTTATAGCACAAAACAAAATGATGAGGTCCCATCTTGTCTGCCGCCCAGTGTGTGTGGATACTCACCGAGCACCCTCCTTAGGTCTTTCTAGCCCACTTTCCAGCCTGAGCTTTTTTGACCAGTTGGAAGTCCAGCTTTGTTGTAAAACCCAACACTAGTTCATTGTGATCCAACCTGGCAAGGGATTTCCTCATCTCTGCTATTCCAGTGCTTGGATGGTGTTACTTGTACTTGGACTCGAGGCCCCCCTGAAACATTTGACATGGGACAGACCCACACTCTTGTATTATTTGTCTTTTATAAAACTACGTTTAGGAACACCTGTATAGAGTTGCTGCCATTTTTGTTGGGAAAAGGGGGAGAAGGTAGTAAATGTATTTATTTGTATGTGCAAAAGGTGTCTCTGGAAATATGCACCAGAACTGATTACATGGGTTGTCTCTAGACTGAGCTGGGCAACTGGAGTACAGGAGTCTGAGAGACTTTCCAAAGGAGACCTTTTTAGATGAATTTACCTATATAGTGAATACATTTTTCATTCAAAAAAGTGAAAACCCTTTCAGGTCAAATAAGAAGAAAAAAGTGTCAAATGTAGCAAATAGTTCACAGATCCTATGGCCATAATCATCAGACAGCTCTTTCTTTGCTGTCTGGCTGCAGACCCCCTAGCTGTCTCTCTGAAATAGGATTATTACATTTCCTAAAACGGAATCATTTTTGGAGTGATCCCTATGTGATACTCTTTTAATGTCTTGCTAGTTTATATTTGTTTACATTAAACATTTTTTGCATTAATATTCAAAGCTGTGGTTTGTTTATAGTGGGTGTTTTGCTGGTCATCTTCGATATGTTTTTATAAGGAATATTATTGAGACTTTATAAAAGAATTGGAAAGACTGCTTTCCCCTTTTCCTTCCCCTTGCCCTTCGAGGCCGACAAGCTGAGTTGAAGTGCTCTTGATGGTTTTGCATGTACACTCACTGTCATTTTACCCACAGGAAGAAGGAAATACTTCCAAAATGCAAAAAACTTCCTGGCTTCAGGATTGTGTTTTATCCCTGTCGCCAACCAACGATCTTATGGTTCTAGCTCGGGAGCAGAAAGCTGTATTTCTAGTGCGTGAGTACCCTTTTCCAGTGGCCTTCATTTTAATGTATAGAAGAGAAATGTGTTAGAGAGAAAGAAGTGTTATTTCTATTGTATGCATTGTATGGCAGCACTCGATAGTTTATGTATTGTATAAAACTTTTTATTTCCTTGTTTGTATTTCTCTTTTTTCCTTTTCTGTTTTTTTCCCTTGGCTGCAGATATTTTAACCATCTCTCTGTGGCGCTTTGGAGACAGTGCCAGGCATTGCCCAATCCTTGCAAGGGGCAGCCAGACCTAAAAGGGCCTCTGACCCCTTCTTAGTAATAAAGAGAGCAAGGAGATTTTCAACTATAACTTGAAAACTACAGTACTGCAGTTTCCTATTTGGGGCATAAGTTTTCAGCTCATGATGTTTGCTGAAGATTAAAATTAAGGTTTAAGTAAACAGAGGATATGAAAACCTCCCTGATCAAGATGAGATCGTATATAAAATGGCTATGGAATGTCTTATAAAGCAGATTTACCCTCCAGCAGCATAAATCTGACAGGAAGTTGCCTTGTCATCTGAAGATAAAATAGGTAGTGGGGGGATTCATAAGAATTAATAACTTTATTATATGGCTTTAACTGGAGGAAGGAGAGACTTAGGGTAGACTTTTATGTACACCTGACAAAAATTTTTGAACATTGTCTTATATTTATGACCCAGGTCTATTACTACAGAGCTATTAAATTTTGTACTCATCGTTCTAAAGAGAAAGAGTGAAATTTATAAATTGCTGTCTTAGTATATTACAGTTAAAGTTATTTTATATGATAACTTAATTTTTTCAGCAAAATGGAAATACAGTGATAAGGGAAAGGAAGAAATGCAGTTTGCTGTTGGTTGGAGTGGCTCCTTGAATGTCGAAGAAGGGTAGGTACTGGTTAATCTTTTTTGTCTCTGTGTGTTAAATGTGTATTTGAAATTGTTTGGTAAGTAAATTTATTAAGAAGTTTCATCTTTTGGAAAGTATGTTCATTTCAACTTTGAGGTTGTAGAGCATGATTCAGTTAGCAGATTTTAATTTCGTTCATGTGATTACTATTAAAAGAACTGTTTGGAGAAGGTTTAAAGAAGAATCTTACAACATCTTTTCTACATTTTGTCTTTTCTGCCACCTTTCATTAATAATTTTATTCAGCCAGAAAGTCAAGAAGTCAAGGGCAGCCCACCAGCTGAAGTGCAGTAAGTCCTAGGATGTGTGCTCTGCAGACCTGCAGTAGCATGGCTGCCAGGTCCTCCCCCCCTCCGCCCACCTTCTCACTGATGGAGGAGGGGGGAGGGTGGGGAAGGAAGGCAGCCTGGTGAGCCTTTGATGTTTCCTCGGTTCTATAGACGTAATCATAGTGCACAGTCAGGGTTTGCTGTCTTTATTTTCATGCTTTTCATGCCAATTCAGAGTGAAAATACTGTTTTTTTAACCTCAAGTGAATGCGTCATTACCTTTCGTGGGAGTGGATTTGATGATCCTACTGATGGCAGAGTTTCACTGTGATTTTACTGAGGCTCTGACTCAGATAGATCCACAGAGCCCATCTTCCACTCACTGCCCTTCTGCATCACATTAGAGAGAACTGAAAGCAATTCATTCATTTATTAGATAAGCTCATGGTTTTGTTTTTGTCTTTGTTTTTAGGGAACATGTCACCAGTGCCCTGTGCATCCCCCTGGCAAGCCAGAAGAGGTAAGGAGAAATAAGAGGGGTTGGTTGGCTCTGCTCTGGTTTATGGGCTGTTCCTGTCATGAATTTCATCTGTGGCAGGAGTTCCACGGGCCGTCCCGACTGGACCTGCATCGTGCTGGGCTTCACGTCAGGTTCTGTACGCTTCTACACGGAGGTGAGCTGCTCATCCAGTGGTCAGAAATGCCAGTGGACTGGGACGCCTGGCTGTGCAGCCCCACTGTACTCACTTGTGACTCATTCCCTGCTGATTGGGAGTGTGGAGCTGATGCTCTACGGGGGTGGAGGCTGGACAGAGGAGGGCAGTGGTAGAAAGTTCTGATAAAAGCTATACAGAAGAGCAGCTGTGTTCTTCTGAGAAGAGAGGACCTGGTGTCTGTGGGAAACTTGTTGGGGAAATGGTACCTGCCTAGGTATGTTAGTGAGAAACCAAGCTGGGCTCTCTCTGTGCTTCTTCCTAGAATGGTGTCCTCTTGCTCGCGCAGCTTCTGAATGAGGACCCGGTGCTGCAGCTTAAATGCAGGACCTACGAGATCCCTCGACATCCTGGCGTGACTGAGCAGGTTGTGAGAGTTTGTGTTTAGAGAACCAGTGCCTTTACTTAGAAGTCGTGTCTTTCCTCTTTATTGGGTGGAGACTTAAAGCTACCTTTATCTGATGACATAGCTGTACTGTCACATTCTAGAGATGCAACTGATTTACAGCTGAGCAGAGAGAATACCAGTCGTGCTTTTACTCATTTAATGAAGTATTGCATGCTTCGTTCTACAAAAAAATAAAACACTTTAGTCAGAAGCCAAAAAAGGTTTTCTTATTTTTAGAATTTAATAATGACTTAAAAATGTGATCTTATATAACTTTATAGATTTTTTGTTTGCATATGTGTGTGTGCTTTCCTTTTTTGTAGTGCTCTGCTTCCAAAAGATTTCAAGTTAACAGGAATATATATTGTGTACCTGAGGGGACTTCACTTGTATGATAGATGGACTAGAGCTGTAGGGACTGGAGCTATAGAAGAAACTTAATATTAGAGACTGGACTAATACCCAGTAATACCTATGAAAGAGTTAATTAGTAATGTAAAGTAATACCTGGTTAATTGCTGATTTATGAGGACAGAATAAATTCTGTACAAGTTTGGAGAAGGGGAGCTCCATTAGAAGCAGGAAAATTAAAGAAAATTTTATTGAGGAGGTGAATTGAATTAGGCATTGAATAAGGGTATAGAACTTACAGTTAATGGGAAAAATAACTGCCTTTGAGCTGAGACCTGAATGATCAGAAACGAGGCAGGTGAAGATCTGGGAGCTGAAGGTCCAGGCGCACTCAAAGCCCCGAGATGATGATGATCTTCCTGTTGTATGGGGCAAAGGGAGAGAGGCGAGATGATGGGAGACTTGTGCTGGATCTCACAGGCATGGTTCCAGGGTTCAGGTTGAATTCTAAATGCAGAGGAAGCCCTGGAGAGTGAATCAGGAGGGTGGTTTGATCTGCTGTGTCTCACAGAGGTCACGCTGTGTGGAGCATAGACTGTGGAGAGCAAGAGTAGACGCAGGCAGCCAGACTCCATGTCCATCAGCAAGAACTGGCTAACAAGTTTAGTGCATCTAATGCAGCGCTGTGTAACCACGATGAAAAATTATTTGTTCACCTAGCAATATGGAAAATAATTCACATATTATTGAATAATTAAACATGTTGTGGAATAGTCGGTGTGGTCTGTTATCACACAAAAGTCTGTGCTTACATGTGAGGATGTGTATTGAGACCTGCTAGGGATTTCAGGTGACTCCCCTTTTTTTCCTTCCTACTTTTATATATTGTTTGTATCTGCACAATGACTATTTTATTTTTATGAAACTTGTGCCTTTTTTTGTTGTTCGTCTTGCCTTCTATCCTGAAAGCATTGAACAGGTACAATAGTTCATATTTGAGGAGAATCTTAAGTCCTTGGCCAGAGGTATTCTGGAATCAGTTTTCCGTTTATTTTTACTTTGCTCTGCCTGTGTTGTTTTGTGTGTGGGTGGTTGACAGTCGTTCAGTCATTGTGTTTTTTATTTTACATTAATCATGACATTCAACTCAGATGGCAAAAGGGATACCCTTATTTGGCAATGATGATTTATTATTTTCTTTCTTTGGCAGAATGAAGAGTTGAGTATCTTATATCCAGCTGCCATTGTGACTATTGATGGATTTAGCCTTTTTCAGTCTCTTCGTGCTTGTCGAAATCAGGTAGCAAAAGGTAATTTTTTGGGCAAGAAATAGCTAACTTGTGATGATGTTTGTCTAATTTCATTTAACCTTCTTAGAGAATTCAGTACGTCTCCTAAATTAGAAAGGCCTTCCAAGCTAGATTTAGCTTTTCCTTTCATGACTCAAGCACCACGTGGAAGTACCAAGGTTAATGGTTGGAATTTCATTCATTTCCTCAGGCAGCGCTATCTCTGTTAACATGTCTCCATCCAGCCTGGCTCAGTTACTTGCCTCTGAAACCTCGCTGCGTGTGCTCCCAGCATAGCCCCAGGGTTTGAGTTTGTCCCTGAGTTAGGCAGTTGTTCTTGTCCCCGGGATTTTAGCCACAGTCTTTCTCAAGGGGAGACATGGCTTACTGGGCCCCTATGGAATTGACCTTGATTATTAGAAATAGTCTAGAATTTTTAACTGTCATCTCTAATTACCGAGTGTTCCAAAGTCTCAGCGACAGCCAGTGTGCCCTTTTGACATCTGCATTGAATAGGCATTGTCCTGGCATGAATAAATTTTCCTTTATGCCTGGTTTACATTCCTTTGTCTCATTACTATATGCTGGAATTTTAGGATAACAAGTAAATACATTTTTTGTAATTTTTAAAAATAAAACGTCATTGTATCCATTGTAGTGAAGCTTGGTTTGTCTAATTATTTTTTTTGGCAGCTGCAGCATCCGGCAATGAGAACATACAACCACCACCCTTAGCTTATAAGAAATGGGGTCTCCAAGATGTTGACACTATTGTCGATCATGCTAGCATTGGTAAGCATCACGAGTTCAGTTCTTTTGGAATTAATTTTTATACCTTTTGATTGAAGTATCTCATTGATTCAAAATGTGGATTTATTCTTATGTGAAAATAAAATGCATTGCTTTTAGTGAGACTCATGGAAGTCAGTTCAGACTTGCGGATTATCATAGGATTATGTCTTTAACAGTTCTAATAACTATGCCCTCAGCGGCGGTACTGTACAGTGTTGTCACTATTTGACTTAATTTTTCTGCAGACGAGTTTAATTCACATAATGACCCCATGGATTAGTCTTTGAAAAATGTAACCTTTAAACCAGCAGAATATAGACAAAAGCAGATTTCACCTTGAAATCAGTATTTGAAGGCTCACTGTACTAGGCATTGGGAAAGCAGAGACGAGAAGACATGTTCCTGATGTCGGGAAGCATGAATGTAGTTAGAAGAAACTGTGGAATAGTTACAGGACCACAGCCTAGTGATTGTTGGGGTAGACACTGGGCCTGCCTCAGTGGAAGCTGAGAGAAGCCTGGTATTTCAGTCCATTCAAATCCTGCATTGTTGCTTTATTGTCAGGTATTATGACGCTGTCCCCTTTCGATCAAATGAAGACTGCCTCCAACATTGGTGGGTTTAACGCGGCCATTAAGAACAGCCCCCCTGCCATGTCTCAGTATATCACTGTGGGGTCCAATCCATTCACTGGCTTCTTCTATGCTTTAGAGGTAAGGTTCCTTCTGACTGTGAGGAAGGCCACAGATTGATTTTTCAACTTGTTTATGAAATAGGTGTGGTGCCTTAGCCTTAGAAAGATTAAGCACTTTACATTTCTAAGTTCAGTTTAAGTTCAAGTGAATCTCAGCTCCCTTTCTTCTTAATTCTTTTAATTAACCAAAGGTGCTAAAGTCGGCTTAAAACAAATGTACTGCCCGGCTGGGCGTGGTTCAGCAGTTGAGTGTCGACCTAGGATCCAGGTGATCAGGGTTCGATTCCCGGTCAGGGCACGTGCCCGGGTTGCGGGCTCTGTCCCCAGTTGGGGGCGTGCAGGAGGCAGCTGATCAATGACTCTCTTATCATTGATGTTTCTCTCTCTCTCCTTTTCCTTTCCTCTCTGAAATCAATAAAGATATATTTAAAAAAACACACACACACAAAAAATGTTTGTTTCTGGTGACCCGAGTTCGTGGACACTGAGTTGCCTTTGGATGTGGGTGTGGTGGTCAGAAGCTCAGGGCTGTGGATCAGCCCCCAGGGGTTTGCATCAGTGAGGAACTGTCCAGACAGAGCAGGCTGCCAGTTGTCGTTAGTGATGAAAGTTGCTTATTAAAATGGGGGAAAGTGAGATTTGGTAGCTCTTCTCACTTGGAAAGCAGCCTTCTCAGAATTGCCCAAACTACGTTATTAAAAATAGATATTTTTTAGAAAGAGGGAAAAGAGCCAGTTGTGTACAGATGGGAAATCCACAGCCCTGCTACAGTAATTCCATCTTCATGTCTTAGTTTAAAAGTTTCCATTAAATTACAACTCAAAGAGGGAAATCCTAAAGATAAAATAGCCTGCCAGTGGTTTTGACATTTACACTATACAGTTAAAATTTTTGATGATAGTGCTACCTCCTGCAATAAAGTTTTTACTGTACCCTCTGAAAGAAGGGCTAGTCCAGGCTTTCCAGCCTTTTCAAACTTTGTGACGTAGGCCTCATTTAGAAGGTGCATCCTTTGTCAGCTGTTAAGTTTTCTCCTCCACATGTTCTGTTTTCCAGGGAAGCAGTCAGCCATTGTTATCTCATGTTGCCCTAGCAGTTGCCAGTAAACTCACTTCTGCTCTGTTTAATGCCGCCAGGTAATCACACGATGAAATTAAAATGTACCTAATTTGTGTCTAACTGGGTTTTGCTTCTGACTTGCTAGTCTGCACTTGGATGCTCTGGAAGCCCTGGTTTTATTCCCATGCGCTCTCTTTTCAGCGGTTGGCTTGGTTGGAAGAGTAAGCACGAGGATGAAGCTGCCCCGAAGCAAAAGCCAAAGATGGAACCAGCCACCCCGCTAGCTGTGAGGCAAGTCTGCTGTTATCCTCTCAACTTGTGTTTTTAGAAATGTCCTGTGAGATTTGTGGTCTCTTGGTGAGCTCAGCTGATCCAATAATCCCACGAGTCTTTGGAGCCTCTAAAGTCACTAGTATGGGATGATTTTTCCAGTAGAATGTGAATTCCATGAGGACAGTGGTTCTTGCCTGTTTCATTCACTGCTGTCTCCCTTTCACATTGCAGGGGCTCAGTATGTATTTGTGAGTGTGTGTGTTTTTTTTTTTTTTTTTACAGACCCTTATACACTTAGCTTAAGTTGCAGGAACATTAATTTTGTGATAGCTGATGAATTTCTTTTTAAAAATAGTTTAGTTTGTCAGTAAGTTGTAAAAACTTAAACAATACTTAGGTATTTCTTTAAAAAAACTAACAAAACCCAGGCGTCCTGTGCTGTCAGGCTCTTCAGGATGCTGACCTTGACTCCTCGCTTACTTCATCGGTGCAAAGGACATTGAGTGCATTTGGCAGGTTTTGGGGGGAGAGGCTTGCATTCCTTTATATAAAAAGAGATTCAGCCTATTTTATTTATGCATTTCATTATAGTGGCATATAGTTCTAGACTGGAATGTGATGCGGGCTTTTTGTTTTCTTTTAAACATCAGATTTGGGCTTCCAGATTCCAGACGCCACGGTGAGAGCATCTGTCTGTCTCCCTGTAACACACTGGCGGCAGTAACGGATGATTTTGGCAGAGTTGTTTTATTGGATGTAGCCAGAGGAATCGCAATACGCATGTGGAAAGGTACTTACAAAAATCCAGAAAAAATTAATTTGCTTTTTACCCCCAATATTTGAGCAACATTGCCATCCTGTAGCTTCTGGTTGAAACACTGTTTAGCCCTTTATCTTTATGTTTTTTTTTACCTGAACCTGGGTCAGCAACACTTGATCCAGTAATCCAGTTGCTATGTCTTTAAGTTGGATGAACTCATAGGCACTTCTAACCTCTTTTTTATGTACTTCTCAATTCTCACTGTCGTTGTCAATTCCTGAACTCAGTTTTTTGCCCCTGCTATGCTCATTCCACTTCATAAGGCCATGCATAAGTTAGATGTCCTTCCCAAATCCAGAATGCTAAGCCTTTCCGACTTAAGATAGCACAATCTAACAAAATCCATCTTGGCTGACTTGATTTTTATATCTATATGCTTGGATCACTTCACTTAGTTTCTTGGTCACTATGTCAGTTGGAAGTCACATTTAGCTGCTGATAACAGACCCAAGTCCAGGATTGATATAAAGTCACCACAGTATCCTCAGGAACCCAGTCTCCTTCCATGTAGCTTTCCCACTCAAGGTTATCTCATGGTGCAAAAGGCTGCTGGAGCTCCAGCCTTCTTATCTGCATCCCATGAAGGAAGAAGGGGAAGGAGTGTGTCTACTTTGAAGATATTTCCTGAGGTCCCTCCGGCCTTTTTCTTTAGAACATTATCCTGGAGCTAGTCACCTGGTCTTACCTAACTGTAAAGGAGACTTGAAAATACGAAGGTACATTGTCAACCTGAAGAAAATAAAATGTCTTTGACTAAGGAAGAAGTGGAGAGTGCATCTGGAGTAGTAACATGAGCACAGATTGGACACCGCAGTTATGGGGCAGTCTGGTCTGTACTTAACAATGTGAGGAATAACAGATTTGGGGACATGAAACTATTCTGGACCAGATTGAGGCCACGCTCACCTTCTCGTCAAAGAATTCCTGCAGTGCTCACCTGCCATAGTGCTTCAGAAAGGCTACTATTAAACTTAGATTAATTAACCAATTAGCATCCCTTCTCTTCTGCCTCTCAGGGTATCGGGACGCCCAGATTGGTTGGATCCAAGTTGTTGAGGACCTCCACGAAAGAGTCCCGGAGAAGGGGGACTCCTCCCCCTTTGGGAATACTCAGGGTCCCAGTCGAGTAGCTCAGTTCCTGGTGATCTACGCTCCGAGGAGGGGGATCTTGGAGGTGTGGAGCACACAGCAGGGACCCAGAGTGGGCGCTTTCAACGTGGGGAAGCACTGCAGGTGAGCTGCAAACTGCACCTTCCTGGTGACAGATGAGAGCCATTCATGTAAAGCCTTTATTAAATCTGCTTATTTGCTTGCAAGTTGTGTGAGGCACAATATGTTCTCTATTGTGGTTTTTCCTGCAAATGTCTAATAACAAAGAAATCTTGAAAAGACCATGATGTGCTGCTGAATGAGTTAGCTTTAATGCTGCCATATTTTAAAATGTTTTTGTTGATTTTAGAGAGAAAAGAAGGGAAAGGGATAGAGATAGAAACATCAGCCTCCTGCTCGCCCCTTGCTGGGGACTGAGCGCACAACCTGGACGTGTGCCCTGAGAGTCAAACCGGTGACTCTTGGTTCATGGGCAGTGCTCAACCACTGAGCAACACCGGCCAGGCTGGTCTCATCCCTTACACTGGAGACTCCAAAGGGAAGATGCCTTCAGATGTCAGATGCAGTGAATGATTTGTTTGCTTTGCAACACAGGCCTGTGCTCATTTCATTTCCTAGCACATTTTAATGAGGCAGGACTCTGCCAGTTGAGTCCTGCTTCACTTCCATTTTGGTACTTAACTTGCCTGTCGATGCTCCTGAATTGCTGGTAATGTTGGGGCCCCAGGTTGTAGTAGAAGCCCCTGTGACATTTCTCCTTTCTCTGATGTCCTCACCATATTGATGTGTGATTTCTGTATGTATACAGGCTCCTGTACCCTGGCTACAAAATAATGGGCCTGAACAATGTCACCAGTCAGAGTTGGCAGCCACAGACTTACCAGATCTGCCTCGTGGACCCCATGTCCGCAAGTGTAAAAACAGTGACTGTTCCTTTCCACTTGGCGCTGAGGTGAGGCTTCTCCAGTGTCTGCTCGCCATTGCCCCTCTGCCTGCTTGTCCCAGTTCGGCATCTTGCTGTTTGTTTTGCTTTGTTTCGTAGTTATTGTTTTCTTGTGTTTGTTTTTTCTTATTAGACTGCTACCTTTACAGTTGGAGTGTCAGAATTAGGAGGAAACCATGTCCTGTTCTGTAAGAACTTGTTGTGTTTATTGTTTTAGTGACAAGAAGAGCGAACGGGCCAAGGACATGCACTTAGTGAAGAAATTGTCAGTCCTGCTGAAAGCAAAGTCGCCCAGTCGTGGTGGGTGTCCTCTAATAACAGTGATAAGCAAGCTCTGTCATTCTGTAAATTAATAGTACCTCTAAGTGGAGCCGCCACAGAGCTCCGTTGCGTTTATGAGCTGTGGCAGCTCCTTTCAGAATAAGTCGAGGCACAGGCAGTCACCTGCACTTATTAGTGGAGTCGCTCAGTCAGGATGTATGAACATTTGTAGCAGTTAACATGAGAGACCCTGGAAATCCTGTAAACTGACTGGAAGTACAGATCCATGCATCTTTCTTTCAGAATAAAGTTTACCTGCAATAAAACTGGCAATCTTACTTAGCTTAATTTTCTCTTTCTAGATTCGGTTGAAACAGAAATAAAGGAAATAATTCTCGATATCAAGTACCCTGCAACCAAAAAGCAGGTGAGTGTACGTGTGAAGCTTTCCACTGAGTGGCTGTTATAATGCCCTTCGAAGAAAATCTTCGTTTTCTTTCCCCTCCAGACACGACAGGCTAGCCTTCCTTTCGTGTTTTTATTCATGTTCTTCCTTTTCGATGTTCCCATGCAGAAGTTTTTGCTTTCCTTTCTTTCTTTTTTTAAAAAGTCAGCAATACCATCACACAAGCAAGAGAACGTGTTCTGTACACACACATGTCCATACATAACATCTGTTCAGATTAAAGAATAGTACATAACCCACGTGATGACCTCCAGGAGCTCTGAGGAGCCCCACGTCCCCCCTCCCATTTCTAATGTCCCCGTGTTCAGAATTTTGCTTCTGTGTTGCTTTTCTTTAGAGTTACATAATTTTTATATGGCCTCTTTAAAGCATATGGATGCATTTTCTGCCTTTTCGACTGTATATAAATGGAGTCATGCCCCGTGTCTTCTGTGATATCCCTTCTTCCCCTGAAGGGACACCCATGTTGACACACGGGCTGCAGCGATGTGCAGATAATGCCCTGTGATTCTACTCTGACTGCAGTATAGCTCCCTTCCCGTTGTCTCCAGTTTCTTGATTTTATGAACCGTGATCTGTGAGTATCCTGTGTGTGCCCCTTAGCAGGACTTTCTCCGGAGCATCGGAGGTGTTGCCGCTCGGCATATGTTGTCAGCTTGGCTCAGATAAACACTTATAAAAATTCTCCAAAAAAAAAAAAAGTTTTTCTTGCATCTGGACCTAAGAGGGGAATTGCTAGGCCCTGAGCCTCTTCAGCTGCCCTGGTTAATGATAAATTGCTTCTGGAAATCTCATCCTGACTCATGTTCGCACTCGTATTGTGTAAGGGGCGCTGTTGCTCCCCAGCTTCAAATCCAAGGTTACACTGTGGGGTGAGGTGGGAAGTATATATAGGGTGTCTCCAAAACATGTAAACACATCTTTAACAGCTGATAACTCACTTAATTTTCACTCCTTTTCAGGTAACTGATTTGAAATAATGGGTGACGCCAGACTAAGTTTTGAACAAAGAAAATGTATCCTAAAGTGCCACTAGACTTTTTTATGGCGATACATAAAAAATAAAATTTATGGTACAAAACTGACAACAGTTGACGAATTGAGGGCACACAAATACCCAACAAAATGGTTCTTGATGTTTGCGATTCCATTGCTTGGCGTTATCAGCAGGGCCTGGATCAGAACGGTCATCAGTTTGAAAACAGGCGTTGACAGGAAAAATATTAATTTCTCTAGATTCTTTGAAATTTTGAAAGTGAAGTGTATGTTAATAAATACTGACTTTCTGATCATTCAAGTGTGTATGCATTTTTGGGGGACACCCATATATCTAGATTGGCCTAAAGATTCGGTCAGCTGCACCCAGATGTGATGATTAAGATGTCAGCTTTTGCTATTGACACAACAATAACAGACTCTATTTCTTATTTATACTTACATGGTATAGACACATTCAGACTCATCTTATTAGTGAGTAGCTTTCTCTGTTTCTCTTTTGTCCTGGCTATTCTGTTAAATAGCAGTCACTTTTGACTGTTCAATTCTCATCTGGACTTTGGGTCATTATACCGTATTTGGCATGATATGAAATTGGTTTCATATTACTTACGATGCAACTTTAACTCACAGGTACGGACACTAATGCATCTTAAAAATGCAGCTTCCTTTTGAACTTTGGGGGCATGAAAGTGGAGGCATCAATGTCAGATTTAAACAAAACCATTGCCTTCTGATGACTGGAATTGCTCAATGTCTTCCTTCTAGGCTTTGGAGAGCATTTTGGCAAATGAACATTTACCATTTTCCTGCCTTAGAAACGTCACTCAGACTCTCATGGACACTTTGAAAAATCAAGGTAATAGGTTTGTACTAATTGTGGTTATGGTCTCACTTCATTTTATAACTCTGCCTGTAGAAAGCTACTCACAGCTCATACCACCCTCTTACGTTAACATGAAAATAATCTGTATAAGATAAATTTATTTCACACCTTTATGATTTGGGGACTTTCTTATTCCCTGTTCATTGTATGAGTTGCTCTTCATCTGAGCTTTATTAACCTTGGGGAGAAACCTGATTGATAGAGAATTAAGTGGAATTCTACTTTTGGTCTCTGTGGCAATGCTTCTTGAGGACACACCTGGCACAGTCCACAGTTCCTGGTTGAATTGTAATGTCTTTGACCAGCACGAGAGCAAGAAGAGCCAGGCATCTTTAATTTTGTCTGTCTTCAGGATGTGAGCCGAATAGGCATCCTGAGTTATGCGCTGAGACAGAACATTTTCAAAGCTGTCTCCAGATCATTTATTTAAATTTCAGTATTAGACCAAGATTCTTCTTTCTTTTTTCTTTTGTTGCTTTTTCTTTTTTTCACCCTTACTATTAGAGCACCTTATTTTGTTAAAAAATTTATTTTGCCATGATCAAAAGATTATCTTTGTCTTATTAATCTTCTGTAGCTTAAGCATCCCAGTGTTTAATAAAATAGAACAGGGAATTGTGTAATATTAAGAGATTTAATGAAGAAAAGCCTTTTATGGGTCTGTTCAGTATGTTCGTTTTTTTGGGTTTTTTAAAAAATATATCTTTATTGACTTCAGAGAGAGGAAAGGAGAGGGAGAGAGAGAGATAGAAACATAAATGATGAGAGAGTCATTAATCGGCTGCCCTCCTGCACGCCCCTGACCGGGAATCGAACCCCGATCTCCTGGATCCTAGGTCAACGCTCAACCGTTGAACCACGCCCGGCCGGGCCAGTATGTCTCTTTAATGTATTTTCCCCTCTGCCTCTTAGAGGTTGAGTCTGTTGATGAAGTGTTGCTGCAGTTCTGTGCCAGTAAACTGAAGCTGCTCCATCTTTACGAGGCCGTCAGTCAGTTAAATTCCCTTGGCTTTCATTCAGACGCATCATTCTCGGATAATGTAAGTAATCCCACTACCCATTATACAAAATAATCTCTGATTCTTTTCAATTTTTCAGATTGGCAGTTGTCAGATTGTTCTTTTTCTTTTCTATTTTTAAAGCACTTTTTAAGAATTAAAATTATATTTCCTATAGACTTGTTTAGATCCTTTACAAAGCATGCAGCCAGCTTCTGGGCTGGGTGGCTCATTTTGTGCATACAGAACTGAAATTCAGGTCATAAGCTCATATATAAACTCAGTGTAGCTCTGAACTACGGGCAGTTTACTGCTTGTTTGTAAAAACAACAGCCTTAGTAAATGAATAAGTAAAACTGCTCGTTTTAAGTATGCAGCTTTCATCACGTAGCATGAGGGGAGAAAGTTGTGCTCACTGTGGCACATTTACGGTCTTTAAAAGTGAGTACATGTGTGTGCGTGTGCATTTCGCTAATTTAGAAAAATAACAGTGTCAGGATCTGTTTCTGTACATACGGTATATAAAAGGAGTTTGAAAGGCTGGCTGGCTCTATCCGGGACTTGCAGCCTCTTTATCCCTGAGAGCCATGTGGAGGATTTCTGTGTAAACACAGTGAGCCTTGTTTGCCAATGGCTTTACTTTAAAGTGTTTGTGCTGCTTAATAAGTGAGGACTCAATTTCTTACTGAATAGTTCCTTAGCTTCCTCAGAATCACAAGAGTGGCAGTTGATACCCTGTTAAATTTTTTTCTGATTACACAATAACTTATTTATTAAAATTCAAACATTTGAGAAAAGTATAATCTCAAGAAATTTTCTAAAAATGATACTTTTAGTTTCCTTTATTTAAATAACCTTCTCGTGAGTGTGAGTGTCAGGTTCTAAGCGGAGTAATCTGAGAGTCACATTCATTAGAAACCTGTCTTTGGCTATGATCTTGCCTTTCATTTCAGATGATGGGGTTGACATACAGCAGATTCAGAGAGAGAGACATGGTCTATTCAGAATTTGATTTTTATTTTTAAGGACTTGGCTGTGTTACTAAGGCTTGATGAAAAGGAACTCATCAAGCTCCAGGCATTGTTGGAGAAGTATAAACAAGAGAACAGCAGGGCTGCTGTCCGGTTCTCTGACGACCAGGGTGGTGTGCTGCCTGTAAAAACATTCCTGGAGTACTTAGAGCATGAGAAAGATGTGATCAACATCAAGAAGCTAAGTGAAGAGGAGTCTGTGGCTCTAGGTAGGTAGAATCGCAGACTGCTATTGCAGTCTCGCCTGTAGAAGCAAGCCTGGGATGAGCTTCTAGCATCTCACAGTTTCGGTTCATTTTGAAATTAAATTAACCAAAGAATTTCATGTACATTTTTCAGTTAACTAAAGATCTGGATATGCAGGCATTGTGTCATGAAAGTTGTGTTGTATTAATAAGTATCCTTAAGAGACAGTGTTAGACATCTAATGTGCTAATAAGTCAAGCAAATTGAACCAGCAGTTTCTTTCCTCTCATGCTGTGTTGCTCTTTGGGGGGTTGAGGTTGCAGTTTAGGAAGATTGTCCAAATGGTGAGCAGTCACTGGTTAATGTGTTTTGTTTCTGTTCACCAGGCAGTTTCTTCTTCTGGAAGTGTCTGCATGGAGAAAGCTCCACTGAGGACATGTGTCACACCTTGGAGTCGGCCGGACTCAGCCCTCAGCTGCTGCTGGTGAGGTTCCTTGTTGCTGATGCTGTTCCTGTTGCTCACGTCATCAGAACTGTTCATCTTTTTTTTTTTTTTACCATTGAAACCCTTTTTCTGCCAAGGGCCATTTGGATATTTATAACATCATTCAAGGGCCATACAGAATTATTGTTGCTATGAAAAAGCTCCTAGATTTATTGAATTTTGAGTCCCGCCTGCGGTTGCCTTATAGGGCCTGTGGGCTGGATGTTCCCCACCCGTGGTTTAAGTGCAATATTGTTTTAGACTGAAAGGATTTAAATTTGGTTTCAGTCCCTGCTCCTGAGTGTTTGGCTTTCTAAGGAAAAGGACATCCTGGAGAAGCCGCAGTCTATCTGCTGTCTGCACACGATGCTGTCCCTCCTGAGCCGGATGAAAGGTAAAATGCTGGCCAGGGCCCTGGACCACGCACCCGCGGGAACGGCGGCTTCTGCTCTCTGAGCCAAGTACAGTGCTTGAGATGCCACAGAATCCGCAGGAAAGTTCCTTTCTCCTAATGTAGGAGACGCCAGAGTATTCTCCCCTAGAGCCTCTTATGTATCCAAAGAATACTCCCTGCAGTGCCAGTGTCCTTTGTGAAAATTACATTTTGTGCTGTCATCAAAAACAATGTAATCTGAGTGATGCATTTGCTTAACTCAGAGGTAAATCTAGTGGTCTCTGGCAGAAGTTATTTTTCTTATTTTTGTTCTGCTGAGACCAGTAATCTATTATATTAAACGTTTAATCGTAGTTTTTAGCAGTGATGAAATATTCCACACAGGGATTTAAAGTTGGTCCAGAAGCAAGATGATTAACATAGAAAAGTAAATGGAATATGTGTTCTGACTAAGCTAGATTGCAGATTTACTTTCCAGTTCATTCAGAAATAAACAAGTATGGCATGGGAGTTTAGTTTTAACACCGTGTTTTATCCGAAAGACTGGATCCCAGCGCTGAGAAACTAAGGGTTCCTTTTTGATGTTGACAGCAGTGGCCATGGATGACACATGGGACTCCCAGTTGGTGTCCCCGTGGTGGCAGCAGATGCGCACGGCATGCATTCAGTCTGAGAACAACGGGGCCGCCCTGTTGTCTGCGCATGTGGGGCACTCTGTCGCCATGCAGATATCGGATGGCGCGACCGAGAAGAAGGTGAGTGGCTGAGGCATGGCTTCCGTCCATGGCTGTCCGCCTGTGGAGGGGCTGCTCCTCCCTTTCTGGGGCCACGTGTCTTTGTGTTGTGCAACATTGGGGGTCTGAAATGTGTGTCAGGTGGGGGTGAGGGGTGTGGCCCTTAGTCTGTTTATTCAGATGATTCTCACACTTGAACTTAGCCATCACCATGTGGCTCAGGGGGCAAGTTCTGCTGAACTTGCTCTGCCAGTGGCTGGTGATTGATGCTGCATTCCTTAAAAATGAGTTCTGTGGTCTCAGTTTTCTCATCTGAAAGAAGCCAGGGTTAGACTGCATTGTCTCTCAGGTTTGTTCCAGCTCCTGAAAATGCACCGGTTGTGTTCCACCCTCCTTCTACAAAGATAGGGTGTTGGGGTAGCTCCAATAATTTGATCTAGAGGGATGTTGCATTAAACTGGATGAGCCACTTAAATATGTCTGTGGAGAGTCACCACCGTCAGTCTTAGGTGTTTATAGGCTCAATTTACTATCACCAGCTTAAAAGGTTTATAATGGAGAGAAATTTGAGACCCATTTTCTATGTTGGTGAATGCACTCTAAAGAGAGGTCAGTGTCCTGGTACTGATAGAAAAGCTGGGCCCTTCTACAGGGTGGCCCTGACAGCCTGGGGTGGGGTGTGGGGGCCAACACTGCAGGTGTCTTTGTAAATGTCCACACTGTATCGTCATTGCCTGAGTCTCGTTTCCACTCCTGACCCTCCTGTTTCATCCAGCTGAGTAGTGACATTTGTGAAACAGCATGTGTGTGATGTACCCTGACTACCCATCAGCCTTCAGGTTCAAAGCTCATTCAAGTTCATGGTGATTCAGAATCTTCGCCAGGTTGTTACCAGGGCATTTTCTGTTAGTTTTCTCAAACAGATTTGGGTGCTGACACAGAGGCCCTCACGGACTCCTGGGAGGCCCTTTCCCTGGACACCGAGTACTGGAAGCTGCTGCTGAAGCAGCTGAGGGACTGTCTCATCCTCCAGACCCTGCTCCACAGCAGGGCGGACACACGGCCCCGCAGAGCCCCGTCGCTGCCGGCCGAGCCGCCCCCCAGGCTCTCCGTCAGAAAGCTCCTCGAAGGAGGGAGAGGTAACCGAAGTCTGCTGGAACATTCGTATCTCATATCTCTACTTCTATGGTATAAGCTTTCATCTGTTTTTAGAGAAATGACTAAAAGAATAAGGAAAGATACACTCAGATTTTAAAAATATACAAATAGCCCACCACATATTACTTCTCAAAGTCTGATCCTGTCAATTCCCTGCTCAGGAACCCCCGTCCACATCCCCAGGCTTTACAATGGTCAGCGGGTTCCCCTTTTCCAACCCCACGTCTGTGTGAGGCCAGAGCTTCCCAGGGTAGTACACAGAGCACAACAGAGCCCAGTGGGCGGGAGGCAGAAGCTCATTAGAGACTTCAGGCCAAGCCAGACGGAAGAGGTTTGCAAAGGGCAGCGCCACTCCTCGACTAAACATCTTGTTGGGCTTTGGGGATTTCAGTTATTGTCTTAAAATATTAGCCTGCAGTGGTTTTATTATTTTTGCTTTAAAGTGAATTAGTAAAAATATTTTTCACAATTTCTTCATTTTAATTTCTAATGCCATAACTACTGATAAATATAACCCACAGGCTAAAGTTCTTTCGGGCTGCCCGTAATTTTTAAACATTTAAGGGACTGAGACTGAGAAGCTCAGAAACTGCTGGAACAAAGTGTGAACTCGGAAGCTTGCTCTCCAAGAACATCTGGCTTTGAATCCAACCCATTTTTCCATTTCTTGCTGGTTGCTAGATTTTAGTGCAAATGAAGCTCCTGGGATTTCCTGTCTCTGTGTCTGAGCCTGTGCTCTTTCCTCTCCCACCTCCCCTTTTTCATTCCATCTCGCATTTTACATCTGGAATGATCTTGATTGTCCCCCCTTCCCAGCAGCTCTGTCAGGTGTATGAGACTGGGATGACGGTATTTCTGGGTTTATATACCCAGGTATTTATAGATTTTTATCTAACTTGTTTTCTCATTTTTTATAAGACTTGTGAAATTTTTAATTATAAACTCACTGCACTCCATGCTGACACCTGGGGAAAGTGTGGGAACACCATTTTAATATTAACCGAAGCAATATCCTCCGGACCTTGATTCTGGAATGAGCATTCACAAATGATTTGGGTGCCAGAATAAGAAATTACATCACCCTGCACACTGCTCTCAGATATTTCGTGGATAATTGTGATTTTACTGTGAGGCATTCTTTTTGTGGAAAGGTGTACATTTGAATCAAAATAGGAGGAAAGACTGAAAGAAAACATTCTGGTAAATTACAGAAGATGTATATTCTGTTTTGGATAATAAACAGGACTCTTCATTGTGATCGTTTTCCGTTTGCATTTATAATTTTTTGACAGTATTGATTGCAACGTGGCATAGAGCATCATGTTGTTGATTAACTATGGCTAAACTTTGCCCCTAAATATTCCATATAGGCAAGTTAGTTGACTATTAAAAGTAATGTAATACTTTCAGAAGCCTAGACAATATACTGCGAATCCATCTGTTTTTACGTACACTCATATGAAAAAGTATTTTAAAGATGTGTTCATCCCTTCCTCTGTCTGCTAAAGTATATTTTGAATTTGTGAGCAGAGAAGGGATGTAGTATCCAGACATATGCACATGCATTTATATTTGTTTAATATGTTAGGCGAGCCTAAAGATGCCCTTAGATACAAATACGCCACTCGTCCCACAGTTGAGTGGCAGATGGTAACTGCTGTGAGTCTCGTAGATTTGGGGTCACTTTCAGGCTGAAAATTGAATGTTGGCACTTAGATCTCATGATCAGAAATGCAAGTCCTGCCTGGATGGCTCCCTTCTGCAGACACTAACTTTTCATTTTCTGTCTTGTCTCCACACTGCAGGTGGCATCGCAGACAGTGTAGCCAAGTGGGTATTTAAACAGGACTTGAGCCCCGAAGTGTTAAAATTGGCTAATGGAGAAAGAGATGCAGAAAACCCAGATGAACCCAACCGAGGTTTATTTGAGGTGTCGGAGGTGGACGTGGACTTGGGAGCCATACCAGGTAGTACATAAATGCAGAGAAAACCAGCCTTCGGGAGAAGACGAGTGGGTGTGCGTGGAGGCGGGAGTCACACGGCCCTGTCTCTCTCTGCTTCTCAGACCTGCTGCGCGCGGCCCGCGAGCAGTTCCCCTGCAGCCTGGAGCTGGACGTGCTGCATGCACATTGCTGCTGGGAGTATGTGGTTCAGTGGAACAAGGACCCGGAGGTGAGGCACCCGCACCTCTTCCAGGGGACTCTGTGTGTGTGCTCATGCTGTACATACTGGGGGCTGTTTAATTCAATAACTTATAGGAACACGGCATTTTCCCCTTTGCGATACCTCTGTACTGGGAGCTGTACTAGTACAGCTCCATTATCTCTTGTAGTCCTTACAGTGAACCCCTGGAGTGCAGGTATTGCCACTATCCTCACCTAGAATCGGGCTCAGAGAAGTTGTGTTCCTTGCTCAGGACACACTGCTAAGTCCGTAGCTGGGCAAGGGTTTAGCCCAGGTTCCTCTGTGTGTCAAGCCGGTGTGATTTTCCTGTTCCTGGGTAGGCTGTGATAAACATATTTTTTTTAATCTCCTTTTGAGTTCTTGCATGGGACAACACCTGCATAACCAAAATTTTTTAATATTGTGATCATCATGACAAAAGCCAGAGCCAACCTTGATGCCAGCCAAGGGCCCGATTGTGCAGATGCGTCTGCATCCCCCCATCACTTCTCCTGTGTTTGTTTCGGAAGGAAAGTCAGGACAGCCATTTGTGTACAGGGCAGCTAGTCCAGGGTCGGCTTTGTGGGCCATTCCGTGCTCTGCTCAGGCATCATTTGCTGCCACTGTTGGTGACCACCCTCTCTGGGGGATTCAGTCTAGAAGTGGTGTAGGGAGAAGGACCCCTCACCTGGAGACAGGATACCTAGACCTGGTGCATTTCTGATACAGGCCTGAATCTCTGAACCTGTTTTCTCTCCCTCCGCCCTTTTTTAATGATGGTGCCAGCTCTTCGGGATCGATGCCAGGTTAGAACAAGACATAACAACACATGGTGTTCGTCCCCCTTTGCTGGCAGTTGTTCACACAGGCCTCCCTCGTCAGTGCTCTGTACCTTCTCCTCCAACCAAAATCCTTTCCTTTTTTGTCCTTACATCAGATTGCACTTCTCAAGAAAAATCTCACTGATGAACTAACTCACCCTAATATATTAATAGTGATAGATTCTGCCTTCCTCAAAAAAAGTCTCTAAGGAAGACATTTAAAAAGTAGTGCTTTAAACAAAGGCATGGTCTGAGCAGTTACACTCTGACCAAGCAGTGACTCGGGGACTAGGGACCTTCTGGGTACCCTGGAATCACCCTGTTCAGTGGACACCTGCAGTCGGAATGGTAATCGCATTTAGGCTCGCTGTTGAAATGGGATGCCTTTCCTACATGAGAAAGAATGGTAGGGCTAAAACAGGGACATCATAATTTCAAAAACCTGAATGGATCGATTCCAGATTCGGGCCTATGAAAGTGAGTTAAGAGAAATGCTCAGTTGTACAAGCTTCACTTACAAACCAAAGGCAGTTGGCATAGTGGACACAGTGCTGAGTTCAAGCCCCCCCCCAGTTAGTTTCTGAACCTTTGTTCTCAGTTTTCTCCTTAAAGCAAATCAGGATCTAGCAGCAGCTGGCTGAGCGGTAGCAGTTTATAGAGAAGAGGCTCGCATAGTGCCCCACATTTTGACTAGTGTTGTCATTGTCTATTATTAAAACTATTTACATCTGAAATAAGTGACCACTTTTCTTATTTGCTTGTTTTTTTCCCTGTTAAATACTTATCTCCTTGCCCCACCCAGCCCCATCCCAGTTCCATTTTAGACACACAGCTTTGTTAGGCTCAGAACACTGAAAATTACCAACGGTGATGTGTTTGTTTAATCTTTGTACAGGCCACAGAATTATTCTGCAAAGATCTGGATAATTTCTGGGGAAAGTTTTACATACTATATTTGAGTTTTACTGTGTAAATTGCCTTAGTTAGAGAAAGTTGAATTTCAAGCATCCCCTTTGATAGTTTGTTTCCCTTCACTGCCTTAGTGTTTTTTCCTGGGCATTTATCACTGATATCCTGTGTAATTATATTATTATCTAGCTCCCTCACTAGAATGTAACCTTAGTGAGGGCAAGGATTTGGATCTGTTCTGTTCACTACAGTACTCCTGGTGCCTCACACAGCCTGGTGCATAGTAGTTGCTCAACAAATATTTGTTGAATGATCAATGAATGATATTTGCAAAGAGGTAAATTTCTAGTTTTCCTATCTCTGTGAAATTCAAGTGTTTATTGGCGATAATGCTGCTGTGATGTACAAGTCAGAACAGTTTGAATCCAGATGTCAGGATATATGACCTGGGGTTTCTAAGAATCGATCATTAATTATATAGGTGGTGCAGATTTAAGAGAGACTGTGATATTATCTTATGAAACATTGCTTCTTACCTATTACTTCCATGTTCTTATTGCAACATTCTTATTATTGCAACATTTTTATGTAGCTTTGTGCAGAAATTTATGTGAACAGTCTCCATCTGTATTTAAAACACCTGTTAAACGATTTTCTCTCTCTTCTCTCCCTTTATGTAAGGAAGCGCGTTTCTTTGTTAGGTCAGTAGAACACCTGAAGCACATCCTCAATGCGCATGTTCAGAATGGTAAGTAAACAGGCATTAAAAACGTAACTGATTCAAGAGACAAGAATCTTTATGTTTCATTTGATGGTCCTACCACCTAACACATTACTGTGGATTGCTATTTACAAAGTACTGGCTTTCTTAACTGCTTGGAAAAATACTGTCCAGAAAAGGGAGGGAAGTTGGTAGTAATTGTCACCTTGTGCCCCAGCCATCCTTCCCCAAGCTGATGACTATTCCTAGGTCTGAGGAAGGAGAGTATTACTTGTGTGTGCATTCCTCCGTCCCTCTTTAGGCCACAGGCAGGTAAGGGGAGAAGGGTGGGCTGCTCAGGACTATGATTCCTGAATTAAAAGCTAGGTAGCCAAGCTACCTTGTGCTTCTCTTAATAGTGTGAATATTGCCCTGTTATACCATGCAGACTGCTGGTGTCTCCCTGAAAAAAAGTGTTTCAGTTGTTTACAGTTGTAGAAAAGTTGTAAACAGGTTGCTGGTTCTATTTAATAGATGAGTTTCCTATGAGAATTGAGAAGCTCAGCCTAGTGGGTCATCTTAATAAGTTTTGAGACTAAGTTTGGGGCTGGGTAAGAGGAATTATCACGTTTATGTCCCTGTGATAAATTCTAGAGCAGCTACTTATTCTCCTGGACCACCTTCCTGCGGGTGGCATGAAGTCAAACTGCAGTAATTCCAAAATATCTCATTTCGCACGAAGGGCACTTTACTTGATGGTTATACACGAGAAAAACCAGTGGGTGGAAAATGGGTTTGTTCAGCTGTTGTGGAGGAAGCTGTCCTCAGCGCTCCTGTACATACGTATCTTTGTATTCATTTCTGCAGTGGTATTGCTGGGTCATACGGCAGACTCACATTTAGCTTTATTATGCTGCCAGTTTCCCAAGTGCTCTTACCAATCTATTACCCCACCTGCAGTGTGTGAGCACTCGCCCCAGCATTTCCCTATCCTCGCCAGCACTTGGTATTGTCAGTTTTTTTTAATTTGCCTTTCTGTTGGTTGTGTGATATTTCTGTCATTTTAACGTATCTTTCAACTAATGACGTGAATCTTTTCTTTATGGTGGTTGGCCATTCTGATATCCTCTTATACAGCTCAGTTCTGATTTTTATTAAAGAATAAAGATTTTTGTTAATTTTGTAAATGTTGCATAAGATATAAGAGCTGATATCTAAGTAAACAACCCATACAGTTTCATAAGCTTCAGGAAGATGAGTTTGTTCTGGGCAGTGAAAGGGAAAACACGCAGCCTCTGCTCACTGCTCTTCCTCACACTGCAGGCATCGCCCTGATGATGTGGAACACATTCTTGGTTAAAAGGTTTTCTGCTGCCACGTACTTGATGGATAAGGTAATTTTAAATTTCATGTACTGCTTGCTTATTTGGTTCCCCAAATTGATTTTAGGAAGGTTATTTACATTGGCCTTGTTAGACAGTTTTTTTATTTGATGCTACATTTTACTTTTGCCCAGTGAAACCTAGTCCCATTGCTGGCGTTTTGATGACCTGGGCAGGAGCCCCGTGTCCTGGAAAGGGTCCTCTGCTGTAGAGCCTCTTGACCCAGGAGGTTAGGACTGGCTGTCAGTTCAAGCAGGGCTTGCACTTTATCTTAAAACCTACAAATGTGCTCTCACTCACTGAGCTTTGGATGTAGGGCCAAGGTGTTTTCTTGGAATGGGGTCGATTGTAGTTCCACCTTGGTTTTCCTGCATAAACTTCACCCATAGAACCTGTGAGTTCTACGACCTGTTTCTTTACAGTTGTGGTGCAGTCTGAGTGCAATCTTTAGATTTTTATAATTGAGCCCCAGTCTCTGTAGTTGTTTCCTGTATCTATTCCAGTAGACCTGGGAGTTAGCTACTCTCCAGAAATCTTTTTAAAGCCGTCAGCATAATATTCATATGAACAGCTTCCTCTTTTTCATAATACATTTTTACAAAATTCCACCACAGAATTAATTGCATTATGTTATGGTTGCCATATTTATTTATAGGTATATTTGTAGTTTTAGAATTTGGTTACTTTTTACTTCTTGTACCATAGCGATGCCTTTTTGTTTAAGTTATTAAATAAGTACAGCATTTTGTATCCTTTTGTCTTAGGTTGGAAAATCACCCAAGGATCGGTTATGCCGAAGGGTAAGTGACTCTCCCTTCACTAGATGTATGGTTGTTAATCCTGCACTGGAACCAGAGCCTCCTTAACTACAGGGACGAACTTTGCCCTCCACCGTCTTGATGACGTATCAGGAGATAAGAAAGTTGGAAAGAGAACACCTGTAAGGGAAACTGCTCGTGAACTCTGGCCAGGTCTCATTTACCTCTGCAGGTTGTCTGATAGCATTTCAGCCAGGTTTTCACAGACGCCTTCAACCTTAGACTGTGGGTAGGAGGGTAACAAGTTGCTGTTGCTGCACATTTTTGCTGCCCTTCAAATGAGAAATGGATCATGGAACATCCGACCTCAAATTCTGACATCAAACAAGGGGATTCAGGAGTAGTGAATTTGACCTACCTTATGTAATTACTATTGTACAGAGAATCTTAAATAACATTTCTGTCCATGGAAACTGGCTTGTGCTCGAAACTTCAAAATATTCNAACATTTCTGTCCATGGAAACTGGCTTGTGCTCAAAACTTCAAAATATTCTTTTTTTTAAAAAATATATCTTTATTGATTTCATAGAGAGGAAAGGAGAGGGAGAGAGAGAGAGAAACATCAGTGATGAGAGTCATCGATCGGCTGCCTCCTGCGCTCCCCGGACTGGGGATTGAGCCCACAATCCGGGCATGTGCCCTGACCAGGAATCAAACCACAATTGCCTGGATCCTGGGTCAACGCTCAACTGCTGAGCCATGCCCGGCCAGGCTCAAAATATTCTTAATATAAATATCTTAAGAAATATTGGGACATACAAACCCAACTGTTACAGACCCTTAATCCTGAAAAATTACCATGGTTAAAGAATTCTGGTACATGCTTGAGGGTGTCCCTGTGACTGCAGTTCATGTACCTATGTGTCTCACACACAGACACACACTCTCTGAATGACAGGGATGTGGGGGACTTATTTGTTGTTGGTTTAATAAAGACTATATGTGAATGCAGTGACCTCTTGGCCAGCACCTTTAAGGGCGTCAATAGGAATGATCTTTAGCCCTGGTCTGGGCTTTAGTTCACGCTCTCGAAAGTTCGAATTTTGTTCAGAGGGTTTGGTTCAGTCCCTAAAAGATGCTCCGGAACCAGACCCAGGCTGTTTTCTTGGAAGTCTTCACGCTGGACCATAACTATTTGGCTGCCGAATGCCTATTCCCTGTGACTCTTGGGCAGTGAGCACGGGTGCCGTGCTGTGGTGGAGGAGACATAATGTCCTTACAGTACACCCAGGACACTAGTGGTTAAATGTTGAGCATAGTACCATCTTTTTTTTTAAAAAGCAGTTAAATCTAAAGGAAGGAATTAAAACGTGCAAATTCTTGCCTGTCCAGTGTAGAAGGTCCGGGTTATTCTTCTGACAGTAACTGGAGCAGTTTTGCTACAGGAACTAATTATGTTCCTTCTTGAAAACAGGACGTGGGAATGAGCGACACAGCAATGACTGCCTTCCTTGGCTCCTGCCTGGATCTCCTTCAGACTTTATTGGAGGTAAAAGGTGTATTTTCATTCTAAACTGTCTGAGCTGTTAAATATGTTGAAACTGACTGGACTTAAAGGACTACAGAAATATTTTCAGTTATTCATTTCCAAGTTTTGACTTAAGCCTAAAAATAGAGACTTTTTTATTAGAATTACATTTTGGGTTTTTTTAAATTACGATTTGGGGGTTGGGGAGAAATAGAGGTTTGCACTTTGCTACTGGTGAGCTCAATGAAGAAAATATTTGCAAGCTATGGCCTGTCCAGTTCTGACCACAGTTTTCCATTCTCAACGTAGGCAGATGTTAGCAGGGACGAAATGCAGCCACCTGTCCTGGACACAGAGGATGCTTGGATCGCTGTCGAAGGACCCGTCTCGATTGTGGAACTGGCCCTGGAGCAGAAGCCCATCCACTACCCACTGGTGGAGCACCATTCCGTCCTGTGCTCCATCTTGTATGCGGTTATGAGGTTTTCTCTGAAGGCTGTGAAGCCACTGTCACTTTTCGATAGTAAGGTAAGTGCCTCAGGATTTCAGAGCCACCTGGGAGCTGGGGGTGGAGCAGGACAGCTGTTTGCTAGAAGCTATTCAGGACCATTCATTGTGGGGTCCTCTGCTCCCGATCAGATGCCTTGTACGGAAGGAGTGGGACTGGGACCAGAGCCCGTGGCTTCCAGTTCAGAGGCCAGTGCTCTCTGCTCTGTTAAGTTTCCTTCCGAGGAACCTGAACCCTATTGTCTGGTATTCTGCTTTGGCTCTTCCAACACACATCTGTTCTCAAGCACGGTGTTTTTAAAAGGATTCGGAGTCCACACTATGTATTAGTTATCTGTTGTTGAATAACCAATTATCCCAGAAGCGAGTGGCTGAAAATCAGAGTTGATTACCATTTCTGTAGGTCCGGAATCTGGGTTCCCCTACCTGGGTGTTTCTGGCTCATAGTCTCTGAGTCTGCACTTAGGGAGGTGGCCAGGGCTGCGGTGGGGACCAGGGCTCCACATCCAAGCTCACACGATGTTGGCAGGATTCAGTTCCTCGCCATGCGGGCTGTTCATTCCAGAGGCAGCTCGCTACCCTCAGCAAGTGCGGGAGCATGAGAGCACTCAGGACAGAGGCCACAGTCCTTTTATAACCTGGTTTTGAAAGTGACACGCTGTCATCTCTGCCTAATTGTCTGCTAGCAGTGAGTCACCAGCCCACACGAGAGAAGGGGATTACATGGGCATGAATACCAGGAGGAGAGGTCACTGGGCACCACCCTAAGGGCTGCCTACTGTACACTAGATCATTGTTAAATAAAATCCTTAAATGTTACTGTTCAAGGAGGGGAAAAAAACCATGAGATGTTCTTAAGTGATTTTTAATCCATACTTATGTTTTCTTGGTCTCTTCTTTCTCTTTAGGGGAAAAATGCATTTTTCAAAGACCTAACTTCAATTCAGTTACTACCTAGTGGAGAAATGGATCCAAATTTTATTTCTGTACGACAGCAGGTGATTACTGGATTTTGTTTTTGTTTCTTGGAAGAAAACAGTAAAGCAAAAATTGAGTTAGTCTTTAAAGGGTGACCACTTGCCAAGTATTCCAAAATATTCTTGAGCAGAGCTGTTTACCTTTAAATTGTGTGTCATTTTTTGATAAACAATTTTAATGGAAAAGCCTCTCTGACAGGTATTTTTAGAGACACATACTAACAAGATGCTGCTGTATCTCTTTCTCCTTTTCAAGTTCTTATTGAAAGTCGTTAGTGCTGCTGTCCAGGCTCAACATGCAGGTGCCAAGGACAAAGACAGCTCAGCAGAGGCACCAGGTGCTCCTCCTGGGAAAGACCTGGACTGGCCCATTCTAGCCGTGGACTTGGCCCAACACCTTCAAGTTAGTGAAGACGTTGTCAGGAGGCACTACGTGGGGGAGCTCTACAACTACGGCGTTGACCACTTAGGAGAAGAGGTAATGATCACCCTAAAGTGTTAACTAGGCTCCAGTTACAGAGTTGATGGTTGGAGTAAAGAATCAGGAGAGTCTCTAATAAAGCGTTTTGCCTTTTGTTAGAACTTTTAGGCACAAAAATTGAATATTGAAACATAAAAATTCTGCTTAATGTTTAGTAAAGTCCGGCGTGCCAGGCCTGCTCTCTGCACAGGGCCTAGCAGCAAACAAATCAGACAAATGCTTGCAAGTGACTCGCACAGTTGTACTGAACTGAAAAATTAGGTGATGGCAGAAATTGGGGGTTTAAATGCTAAGCTTGATTTGGACGATGTTTTGTTTGTACAACTGCCCTTTGAACAACTTCAGGGTGAGAGGAGCTGACCCCACACAGTTGAAAATCTGTGTGTAACTTTTGACTCCCCAAACCTTAACTACTAATGGCCTACTGTTGATTGGGAGCTTTACCAATGGCAAACAGTTGATTAGCACATTTTGTGTGTTATGTGTATTACATATTGTACTCTTACAATATATTAAGCTAGAGAGAAGAAAGTTATTAAAATCATAAGAAAATACACTTACATATTTATTGAAAAAAGCCAAGCAGTTCAATCCCATGTTGTTTAAGGGTCAACTGTGTACACGGCCACAGATCAAAACTGAACTTGACTCTGCTGGCAGCACCTTGCCTGGGGTCAGTCAGTCTGTCAGCTCTTCCTCTATAGCTGTCTGTGTTCCTCTCCACAGGCCATCCTCCAGGTCCATGACAAAGAGGTCCTTGCCTCTCAGCTGCTGGTGTTGACGGGGCAGAGGCTGGCACATGCGCTCCTGCACACCCAGGCTAAAGAAGGCATGGAGCTGTTGGCCAGACTCTCACCCACGCTCTGCACGTGGCTGAAAGCGATGGTGAGTACACAGAGTGAGATGAACCAGATGGTCACTGCATGTTTTTTTTTTTTTTTTTAAATATATCTTTATTGATTTCAGAGAGAGGAAAGGGGAGGGAGAGAGAGATAGAAACATCAATAATGAGAGAGTCATTGATCTAGCCCGCAACCCGGGCATGCGCCCTGACCCGGAATCGAACCCTGATCGCCTGGATCCCAGGTCGACGCTCAACCGCTGAGCCGCGCCCGGCCGGGCTGCATGTTTTCTTAAATGCATACTTAGTAACAGTTAAGGGGAAAATTTTAATTATTAGTTTATGTGACTGATAGGTTATTTTTGTGTCCCATCTGCAGGACCCCCAGGATCTTCAAAACACAGAAGTGCCAATTGCGACAACTGCTAAACTAGTAAATAAAGTCATAGAGCTTTTACCAGAAAACCATGGGCAGTACAGTTTAGCCTTACACCTCATTGAAGCTGTGGAAGCCATATCCATTCCTTCCTTATGACCCTGTCTACCGAAAAGTCTCCCTCTGTGTGACAGGAATGTGAATTAGTGCATGGTTATTTTATATAGTAAGAGCTGGGGTTTTATGCAGGGAATATGTCTTTTTTTTCTTCTTTTGTAAAATAAATTTAAAAAATATTATACTACTTTTAAAAACTACAGCCCTGGCTAAATTCCACTCCTTTGGTTAATACCAAAGGCAAAATAGAAACAAATATCAATTATAGTATTAACTACTCATACAGATATTTTACTGTTTATTTCTAATTGAAGCACTTAAGTGGCTTTGTTGTTAAATTTTGCTATTTAAAATTGGTTTTGATTTACAGATTATGTTCTTATTATGAGATTCAGTATTTCATACTCAGATCTTATTGTTCTCAGCAAATTTCAATGTGGTCATGTAAATGTAGTCCCATCAGTAAAACTAGACAAACATCCCACCCTCCTTTCATAGTCGTTAGGAAAACGCTTTTGTTATCACGCTTAATCCCTCCCTGGACTGCACCCGGCCTCGAGTTTTAGAGGCCGACAGGTTCCTTGCGAAGGAACATGTTCAAGATCGTCACATTCATCACAAGGGACACTGAGTAGAACCCGTGTTCTGGTACCAAAGGACCTGTACTTGCCAAACTTGAGAATCTGAGATGCAAGCCACCCACCAAAATTAATTATAACACAAGGTAAGATTTGCTTTTTGCCAAGATTCGAAGTCGTATCCACATCAGGTAATTGTAAAAATGTATTATCTTGTAAAGCTTATGTTTAAAAAAAAGGGGCAAAGATGCTAAAAATGTAAGTTTAACTTTATTTTTCCTACAAGTGTTTAGAAATGTCTGCTTCTGGGACTTGGTAGTGTGACCTGTTCTGGGAACAGTAAGAAAGTGCTTAGTGATATTACAGCTTTGGCGAACCTACCTCAGAGCTGGTTGACAGGATAAAATACGCCAACCTTGTGCCCTGGAGTGCCTCGAGTGGCCCAAGTGCTGAGTACGTATTTCATTGAAACCAAATTAACCAAACTGAAGAGTGCTTTGAGCTCCACAGATACAAAGTATTTGGGATGGTGTATCTTTGGAGTGTAGCCATACAGTGCAATTAGTGTCACCTGTCACCGATCACAGTTGTCATTCATAGTAGCTCATGTGATTAAGTTTGTTTCTTCACTTCCTTTTAAGAAGCCAGCTCGAGCCACTGTACAGAGTTGAGGAGTATGTCCTTCAGGGACGTAGAGAAAAAATCATCAGAGTGAGGATATCCCAGTGTAAATTCCTTTTAATTAAAAAATCACTTCCAAAGTGATCTGGCTGTAACTTAACAATTCCTGTTTAATGTAAAATCTTGAAAAGTAAATGTGTAGGCTGATGAGTATTTGGGGTGAGGGCCTGTACGTCTGACTGAGGCGCACACCGTGCAGGGTCTCCTAAAAAAGCTAGTCCAGTCTCCCAGCCTCTGCTTGAATCCGCTGCCATCCAGGCACACTCATGTGATTTCTCGTAAACCATCTAGCTTCATATAGTCACGTTACATATATTCTAAAAGATTGGTTCTTCCTATGATTTTTCTAAGTATTCTGAAAGTAGTTATAAATTTTGGAAGCTGGTTAAAAATCTTGGAATTATAGGCGTTTTAAAAGATTAAATCCTCACTCTGATCCCATATCACTTTGGGGGTAAGATTTACGTAATCAGTATTTTAGCTAATAAAACAGGTTAAACTTATTCTGGAAGGACACACAGTCAAATTGGGGACTGTTAAGAATAAGCTGCAGTATGGCACGTAGAACACAACAAATCAAGTCTCGTGAGATTTGTAACCCTAAAATTCACCACCCACAGAATTTTAAAGTTGAATTCTGAGTTGTATGGTTAAATGGTTTTACTATTTCATCAAGGGCTTTTAAAATAAATCTGATTCAAGAAAGGCAAATAAACAGCCATGTATAGGCAGACCTTGCTTTACCGCATTTCATAGATGTGAGTTTTTACAGACTGAAGGCAAGACCGTCAGCAAAGTGGTTCTGACTCACTCTAGCGTGAGGCTCGCTTTACTGAGTGGTCTGGAACGGCACCCCAGTGGCCGCGCTCTGTGTGTGCACGTTCTGTAACAAGGAAGAGCCACAAACAAAGGAATTGGGTGTTGTGTTGAGTGGCTGGTTCTGAAATGAAGGGCATGTTGTGCTTAGGGCAGTTACTGATGGGAAGCCAGTAACCAGCCGTTTTCCTAGATACACCCCCGCACCCCCAGCATTAAACAGGCCTGGTGGACCGTGCTGAATCCCACTGTGTAATGATAGCTGTGTCTATAGTACAGGGCGTTTAGACAGACTCCCAAGAGCCAGGGTAAATGTTGGTAAAGAGGAGCAGCATCAAGCTTCTAAAAGCTTCCTTCCTTTGCAAAAAGAAAAACAGTCTTTTCTCATTTCACCTTTGTTATAAAAATCCATCTTAGGTCAAAGTAAACACTGTTACATTTAAATTGCTTTTCAAAAACAATCAAAAATTAACTGCAATTTAAAGTCACAGAAATCTCAGCTTTAATAATACTAAGCTTACATGGAATATAACGTTCAGTTAGAAGTGGCTGTGTTTCATCTAATTTTTGAGAGATATTTTAAAGGCCTGATAGCAACAGGGAAACCCTCTCGCCCTGACAGGAATGGATTGTTGGATGTAGATTCCACTGCGTAGAATTAGCCATCCCTAGGAAGATTTAACCCAACATGGAGTTGTTTATAAAATCCTCTATTTAGTGTAACGTACTGTAAGTAGTGCAATTCTGTATATACTGCTGTTTTCTGTCTGTTCATTGTTGTGAATTTATGTATATTAGTGAAATAAATTTTCAGCTTTCCTGTTGTTTCCTTATCATCCTTAAATGTGAGCACGTACTGTTAGGTTTATTTTCTCTCTTACACTAGAACCACAGATTTAGTGATGTGTTCATTCTGATCCAACCACACAACCAGCTATTCTAAAAAGGTTGGTATGCAGTTACCCCCTTCATGTCTTAGGTCTGCCATCCCCTCCAAACTGCCCTTTCTGATATTCGCAACTTTTTCACCAGCGACACACAGTAATTTCCCAGAATGCCTTTATTTGTAGACATTGTAGAACTTACTGAGTCAAAAAGATCTGCCCAATATAAAATGTCTCCTGCTTGGCCACCCCTGGAGGTGAGCGTACTCGGTGCCTGTGCCCTGAGTGCGTCCATTGGATGTGTTAGTATCCTGCACGTGTGGGTTTCTGCAGATATATACACATTGTTTTATCTAGTTACAGGAAACGTAGGATTCTTTCTCGGATGCTCACCTTCCACTTTTCCTCTTCCACTCGTTACCCAAGTCTTGATTTCTTCCCGGCGTTGTAAACAGTCCACCCGAAGGGCAGTGGGTCCTACCGGGTCTCGCTTGGAGCAGCCGTCGGCGTCAGAGCGGGTGCTACTTCCCACCAACCACGTCCGTGCACCGAGGACAGAGCGTCTCGGAGGACGGGGCTGTGTACTTCCAGCAGCGAGGGCACTTTTCTTTGGTAGTTGGCATGACAATTACTTTATACGCAGACTCTTCGCGGATATCACCACCTGGGAAAGGAAGACACGCGTACTTGGCAGGCCACTCAACTTCGACCACTGTTTCAGCTGGTTTTGCAGGTGCCCTTTTTCAGCTTCCTCCTTCCTGCCTCGGCAAAGCCTGTCCTGTCATCCTGTCACATGACAGACACAGCCAGGACAACAGACACACACTGAAGAGCGCTGGGGAACCAAGACCCTGAGGGTTAACTGATTTTTCCAGCTCTGTGTTCTATCCTAACTCAGGCAGAACAGGCCTTTTAATTCATAATCCAAGAATAGTTCTGACAAGTATGGCGCTAGAGAGGCGGTGTAATTGGAGGATTTTTAAAAAAGCCAAATCGTAGTGACAGCTGCAGTGTCCCCACTTAAAACGTCTCAGTTTGGACAAAAGGAAACAACACTTTCTCCATTGTTAATACTCTCAGACTTCAGACTGATAACACAGTGAAGAAAGTAAATTTCTAGTCATCGCCCAAAGACTGTACATTAACATTGTGAAAAGCAAGTTAAGCCAAAATCGTTACCACATGGTCAGTGCTGCCAGGCCTCAGACTGAACCTGCTGCCTATAGTTTAGCTTCCCGCCTCCTGCTGGGAGCTAAAAGCTCTAGAAAGACAGGCAGCTCACTTCCTCCAAATACCTGCATGTTTCTCTTTCTCCTCTCTATGTCCCTCAACGAGAGTGAATTAGGTTGACAGAAATGCCCACGAAAGGCTGGCTTATGAGATGCCACTGTGGGAATGAGCACCATAGACCTTCCTAACCCCTCATTCAGAATAGCTAAGTAATATTTTAATTTGGGGTCTACCCAAGAAATTTTAGAATCAGTGCTGGGGAAGGGAGGGCAGGGCTGGGCGTCAGTAGGATACCTGGTATCCCAGGACAGGGAGGGAGGCGCTGACTCCACATACAGCGACAATCACTTCTCCACAGGAGAGGGAGGAAGCTCTCCCTCTTCTATCCCTGGCACTGTGGCCCCAGGCTCATCGGGTGGGACACTTTTGAGAGCTGTTTAGAACTTGCCACGTTTACACTGTGTCCATAGAAAGGGCCTCTGGAATCTGTGCCGTCCACTGGACAGCTGGGGACGCCCGCAGTCGTCATTCAGTTCTCCAGGTAACACCAATTCCTCTCCCTTCCTTCCTCCTCACCTTCCAGATTGATCAGGAATGTCCCTTTAATCTCAGTGACATCCGAAGTCAGCGTGGGGGGCTCCTGGGACAGTAATGTTGTCTGGGAGGCCATCATGAGCTCGTTCAGCTGCGAGGTGCTGGAGGTCTCCTCCGCTTGCAGCATCTGGGGGTGAGCACATGAAAGTTACTATCTGAACTCAACTTTCTCCATAAACCGAGGACATGGACACTAAAGTCTTCTGTTTAGTGAGAAACCCTTTGGTACTCTTGCCTCCTGATGCTAATACTATTAAAACACATTAGCTCTTAATGGCATGAAAGGTTTGAACTGAAAACGTCCAGTCAGTGGTATTTACTGAGAAAATACTCTCTGGCAGCTCTTCACTGTGCTAGACGCCAAATGCCCGTTATTTCTAATGGTCACAAAACACCTACACGGTGTTTACCATCCGCATTTGCAAACGGACAGGCTCGGGGGGGTCAACCTACCCAGCTTTCTCAGCCGCTCAATGGTGGAGCTGCGGCCCGGCCCAGCACTGACAGCTCTGAGGCACACACTCCCTGGATCATGCTTCTGACATTAGGCCAGGGGTTAAGACACCATCTGACAAGGACGCATCTGAATGATGCACAGACCCCTCTAAGGACACTGAACTGCGGCGTCTGATACACACTTGTACATTTTTCATTGCAATTCTGATCTTCAAAATGAGTTTGTGAGCTAATATAGACATTCTTTTAAAAAAACACAAGAAAACAAACTCATGAGAAAACAGGTGATTCAAAGAGATTAATTTGGTTTTAACAAATCATGTGATTAGTAATGGACAGAACCAGGACTCCGACAGCTACTTAGTGTAATTCCTAAGGAAAATATATTCACAGTTTTGAAAATCCCAAAGCATTTTTCCCAATATAAATGATCCAAACCAGCTGTATTCTTTTCAGCTTATTACTCAGAGCTACTGAAATCAAAGGACATGTGACAAGTAGGGAGAAACCCAGTCTAGGCTGTGTGGCCTTGGCTAGCTCACAGCTTCAGTGTCCCGTCTCCTCGCTCGTAAAATGAAGGACTTAGAACATCCCAACCGTAAGTTTTAAAATGTGAATATAGTATCGAAATTCTCTTATCAATAATCTCACATCTACTAGCTATTTCATGCCTCAAATCTTGATCAAGTACAATATTAAAAATTTAAATTGAGCTTACCAACCAAATGAGATGGCCATGTTTTAGGAAATATATCAGTAAAACTTAAAACTATATATTCATTGCCAATTCTCTTCTAAGCATTTAAACTAGAGAAAAATCTCGAGTCGGTATGTTAAGCTCTAAGGCAGTTAACCCCTTAGAATCCCAAGAAGAAAATGTGACGGAACTCTGGAGAGAAAAATACGGTGAATGTTTTGAGATCACATGAGGATCTGCTGGAACAAATTAATTTTTCCCAGAACTCGAGAAACAAATGGAAATCTTGTTTGGGATTTGTTTTGAATCTGGTCCAGGTGGACAGAATTCTCAGAAAACTACACCCTTAACACGAAACTCTTAATTTTTGTGTATTCTTAGCTACTGCCCGGGACTAACGTGTCGTCTGTCATCTAAATAGCCCCGAGGGCTTGCATTTCAAATAGAACTTTATTCTACTTTCCTGTCCCAATACCAAGATTTTTGAAAAACAAATATCCAGTGAAAGTGTGACCTTAACACCATTTCAAAAGGAGCAAATGACTGCTTACCTCTATTATCTCGAAAAGCAGTCCCGGCTCGATGACAATGGTAACCTCGTACTCGGCGGCGTTCTTGCCAGGGATGCTCCCAAGAAATGCATCTCTCATGGCGCAGGCGCTCTCCATCGCCTCCTCCAGCCCGGGCTTCTTCCAGATGGAGCTAGTGTTGATCCACCCGGTGCGAAAAACACTCTTGGGTTCTTAAGAAGAACACCCAAACACTAATTTACATACATTCTAAACTATACATAAAGCCCTGACCATGAAATATTTACTATTCATGGGAAATGAGAATTGTTAGTGAGGCAATCATGGGATGAAATATTATGGAGCCATCGTAAATGCTTAGCAGACATTTATATGAATGTTTGGAAATAATGATGCTAAATTTAAACGGATAAAATATATAGTAAGATCTCAAACAAAAAAAGATCCTAGGAGAAAAAAGAGATTCCCCAATAGTTACAGTAGTTGTTTGGGGATAGTAAGATTATCAGTGACTTCTTTGTACACTTTCACCTGTTCTGATTTTCTGTAAGTGTAATTAATCAGAGGAAGAAACTTTATGAAATTGCTAAAAAGCACTATACTTTGTCTTAATAAGATGTAATGTATTTCTGATATTTATAAATATTTAAGAACATGACTTTTCAACATAGTCAAGCTGCTAACATTTCTGAAAGCCCTTCAAGGCCACGCTGGCAGCACCTGACTCCTCTACAGACAGGTGCAGAGGGGCCAGGAGTATCCACCGTAAACCCTTCACCGTGGATGAGTGAGTCCCTCGGGTGAAGGGGACACAAGCAGAAGCCGCAGCGCGTCCCCGCCTTCCCCTCAGAGGGAACGCGCGTCCTTACCTTTGGCGTAAGGGGTGTGCTGGAACACCTCTTCAGCCAGGTGAGGGAGGATGGGCGCAACGGAGCGCACGATCACATCCAGGGTCTCGGCCAGTGCGGTCTGACAGGAGCGGCGCTTGGGGTCGCCCGCCTTCTCACAGTAAAGCCTGAACAGACAATGGACTCAGAGCTGGCCGCGCTGTACACCACTGTCGCCAACCTGGGACCCGTCTCAGGTCGAGCTTAGGCTCACAGTGGCTAATGCAATGGGTCTAATCAGCTTAAGATACCTAGATAACACCCTCCATTTTCCTTCCTCCTTCCAGGTGTGCCCACTGCCTCCAAAAAACTCTCAGCAGCTAAGCTGCATCTAATTCCATTTTCCAGATAATAGAGCCTAGACTACTGTGTTAAAAGACAAGTAATAAGTTGCTGATCTTTAAATGTGACTCCCACTCCAACAAGGCTGCCTCCCCTCAAGCTCTACACACTCCTGAAAACAGGTACCATGCTCCTGACCTCAGAGGAGCAGCTACTTCTTGAGCACTTGGTCAAACACATAACCACACTGAGATGGTATCGGCATCCCCATCTTACAGACAGAGAGATTAGAGGTAAGCTGCCCCAAATCAACTGCCCAGCGCCCACCTGACTCACCTGCCCAACATCTGCCAAGCAGAACTGACAAGCAATACTTAGAATTTTACTGTTGAGTCGTACGTACCTATCTTTGATTATGCTGAAGTAAAAGTTAGAGAGTTCTCTGGTGTAAAAGGCTTTTAGAAGCCGAATGACTTTTCCGAAGTCATACTGTTTATATGAATCGGTAACCTAGGGAACAAAACCAGAAACATTTGCAAGCTGGGATAGCAAATAGAAATGCAAGTCATTAGCAAAATACATTCCTTCTGAAAATGTTTCAAAGGCAGAAAACCACAAAACAGGTGGTATGCAAAAGCTCTTGGGTGGGGGGCGGTTCCCCAAACATTATTTCTGGTTCAAATTCGACTGCCTGTGGAAAACACTGAGCACTCTGCTCTGGAAGCTACAGAACACTCATCAAAGGACGGATCTGGTTTTAAATGATGGAACCACACTGTTTAAAACAGCAGGGAGAGCAGGCTACCAATGCAGCCTGAGAGTAGCACTGGGCAGAAATCTGCATGCACGCCTCTGACCTAAGGAAGCTGCCACAGGTCCAGTTTCTGAGTAAACACAAGTTATCTGTGTTTGTCTACAAACGATAGAGTATCTTAGGAGACACAAATACTCATTTCAGTTATTTCTAGACTTCGAGGGGTATGTCCGCAGAGAAAGTGCAACTCCTTCCTGTCAGAGAAATACACAGAGCTGATCTGGAGAGAAACCGTGGCTGGAGGAGATGTCTGGGCCTGTTGTTTCCATGAGGCACTTCTCTAGTCTCCAGAGAAACTGGGAAAGAAATCGTAAGACTTCAGACCTCAGGTCAACCTAGGGGCATGCGGGACTTATCAAATATAACTTTGCTCAGTGCTGTAGCTACAGACCCTAGCAAGGTGTGTCCCACCTGCACGCACCGCACATTTCAACACAGAGAAGTGCAGGAATTTCCACTTTCCAACAGCTTGCTGACCCCACTCACCTTGCTCGCTAAGTCCTGCAGTAGGTGCAGCATGTACTGGTCTAGGACATACATCTTGTCCACAGGGACGGAATCTGTCTCTGGGTTGAAATCAGCCACGTTCCCCAGAAGAAAGCGGAGTGTGTTCCTGAGCTATTGAAAAAACACACCAAACAAACAACAAAAAACAAAGCATACAGTCAAAAAAATGTATGAGGTAAAGAAAATGTATGAAGTTCTTACTGAAAGGTTCTTCTATTTCTGTACAATTAGGTTTCCTCCAGCTCATGCTGCTTTCTTAATGGGATGCTTTTTAAATAACATTCCTAAATAAGACCTACAAATGCAAAAACCCAAACTCGTTTAAGAGCCCAGGTCTAGAAACAACTGCTGGACTTTGCACATAAAGACTGAATTTTCGTTCCATTTCTTTCCAACCTCTGGGCACATAACCATACAGTGGCCTCGTCGGTTCATCCGTGGAGGTGAAAATAAAGATAAATGGAATAGATGTGAAAGGTCATCGAGCATATAAAGTACATAAAATTAGCATAATTTCACATATAATACGCTTCATTTTTCAGTATCTTTCTTCTCTCCAGTCCTTACAGATATAGAAGCAATAACTAAAGTTAACTTTCCTTTTTTAAAAAACTGTACATTCAGTTTGCAGTAGACATTCCTTAATTATTTGCATTCATCTATAATTATGAATTGATGTAACATTAATATTGTATCAAACTTCCTTATGAAAATGAATGTGGCTGTACATGGGGTGTTTGACTTTTGTCCACAAGAATGAATCTAACTCAGGACGCTCTCGGCGGACAAACAGCACTGACCCTCTCAGGCGCGTCGACAGTGTGAACCACGTGGGAACGCCCCGTCTCCACGGGAAGCTGCACTTGCGTTAATCCTTACGGTCAACTTTCTGCCTAGGACTTTGCAGGGGGACAGCTCACTGACTAGGAAAAGCACGACACTTAACATTCAGCGTTAGCGCACTGAGGGGACTTGACTGCTTTGTGCTGGGTGTGTCGTTACTTCCCACTTGACACGAGGGCCTTTAATGTCCAGACAAGAGTTTCATCAACGAAGAAATAACCTGCACTGTTGATCAGGTTGGTGTAAACCCAACTTGACATTTGGGCTCGGGGGGCCTCAAGGACACTTTGTTGTAGGAAAGCGATTCTGTGCGTGAGGTTAATACGCTTGCTGCACTGTCTCGGCAGATTCTATTTTTGTTTATAAGGTTAAAATGTATGTTAGCAAGAATGGGTGGATTTTCAAATAAAATGCAGCTTCCACCAAAAAACTGGTATAATTTCACATAGTATGGTATATATTGAATAATATATAAAAGGACAGTACATAAAATTATTACTGACTTTTTAAAACAAATTATATAGGACATTTGTAAATGCTCACATGTATAGAACTCATTTTCAACAGTCTTGCAGTGCCAGCCACACAAAACACGCCCCTTTTTTGAAAAAAACGATTTGGTAAAGGTTTCATTTGGAAATAGGAAGAGCAGTGACTCTGACCTTGCTAATGTCATCTCGCGCAGCGTTCAGCGCGGAGGGACTAATCGTCACTTCAGTGAAGACGTTGGACTCAGCGACCCACCAGCGAAGGACATCAGCACCGTAAGGGGGCTCTTTGCTTTGGTCCTGTTCGTAGAGGGAAAGACACATATAAACCTAAAAATGCTCTCGATGCCAGTTCGGTGAACCAGTCTTTCAGGTGTCGCGACTCAAAAATGTCTGAGCACAGCGTGCGCACAAAGATATCCCTGCACTGCCACGAAATAAAGGCTGCGTCTCAGACTGGCTGCGTCAGAGAAGCAACACTGAGGAACGGCAGTGCGCCCTGCAGTCCGTCCGAGGCGCAGATGCCAGCGCCCAGCCTCTTCCCTGGTCCCGTCTGTGCCCGTCTGCCCGTCCCAGCGGCTGCTCAGGCACAGCCCTGGCGTCCCCGCCGCGGGGGAGGTGACGGGCTGCTTTTCCCTCTCAGTGTTCCCTAGCAACCCTGTACACAGGGAAAGGACTAGCGGACACCAGGAGGGCAGTGAAGAGCCAAAGGAACAACGGACGAGTGACTTCTCTTCGGAAAACAGCTTCAACATAAACCAAATTACCAGCAACCCCAGGATTTCAGGCTCATTAATGGTGTGCTCTGAAGTGTCTAATTTTCAATAATAATAAAGCATGCATTTAGGAGTTGTCATCTCATTTTTTTCTTATACGGTTTCTATTTAAATGTAAAGTTACAGTTTAAAGCTCAGACAATTAAAAAAGGGGTAGCATGGTTCAGGACCTACCTAGAGATTCAGACCAGAAACGGGTCGAAAAGGACCACAATCCCAGCCCTTCCCTTTTTCATTAAAATGTATTATTTAACATCTAGATTTAACACAGAGTAAGGCATCTGCTGTTCATGTAAAAAATGGTGTTGTGCTTTTTTTTATCACTTAAGTAACTACATTAAGGGTTTTGGCTGCCAACTTAAGAGCCTGAAAACCAAAATAAAATGAATTTTGAAAAACCACCTACTTGTCCTCCATTGATGACAATATCGGGATCAATGACATTCCCTAGAGACTTGGACATCTTTTCTCCCTTCTCTCCAAGGGTAAACCCATGAACAACCACTGTCCTAAGAAGGCAAATCAGCTATTATAACAACACAATTATAATCTTTTTGAAGATTACTTACAGCTTAAAAAGAATATCTTAGTTTAATACAAAAATAGGATTTTTCTTGACAAAGTATGTATGAAATCTTTTCTTGAAAGTCTAATTGTTAAATAGTAAACTCTCTACTTACACACACAAACATTTTTGATGTTTACATTCACTAAACAAGCATTTCCTGAGCATCTATGACGTACTGGTTTTGATCATTAAAACTAACCCGGAAAAAGTATGTCTTAAAGAGAGCAGAATGTCACCTCAAACTATCTTCAAAAGGACAATACAAGAGAAAAAGACCTCCTGTTCTATTGGGTCATAAAAGTGTGTCACACAAGAAACAAACATTTAAATTGTTCTGGGATGGGCTTCCATTGTAAGACAGCAGAGATCTTCAGCCCGTTAAGACTCTGAGTAGAACCTCTCCGCACATCTGCATGAGGAAACGCAGTTATCTGTAACTAAGAATCCCTAAGTTAGTAAACCTCACTAAGGGAATGCTCCAGCTCAGTGGCCACTTGCGGATGTCACCAACGTAAGGACATCGGAGCCCAGGCTGTCGTCAGTCGACCTAGAGCTCCCTTGTCTCTATCCCTCCGAGCTGAGCGACCGCACGGGGTGACCTCCGTCTCCCCAGGTCTCCCTCCCCTCTCCAGCCAGTGCCCAGTGCCCTCGAGGAGCTAGGACCTGTACCAGTGACCAGACTTCTCAGGGTTATCACCTCCTCTCTCCCCCTCTCCCTCTCTTTCTTCAAACTCTCATTTCTCTCACGAGACTGGAGACGAAGCTAACGAAAGGTGGTTCTGACGACACAGATACCGTCCAGCACAGGGCTTCCCGCCCGGGCAAGTTCCGGCAGAGGCGCGGGAGTGCGGGACTTGTCCAGCTCAGGTACGACACTTACCTAAACGGGGCTTTCTTCCTCACTGCCACGCTGGTTAACAAGGACGACTGAAACCAGCCGCCAAGCTGGTCTTTTCCTTCCAGGTATAAGTCTGCTCTTTGGTCCGTACCTCAAAGGTGAGTAGTAAGAACAGAAATGTCATTAAAACAGGAAAATAGTGGGTATATATCAAAGTATTGAAAGGATAAAAGTGACCACATTATGTGTTTCTTGTCACACTGCACCCAATGGCTAGATGGCATTCACTGAGCTCTTACCTTCAGTGCCAACTTAGTAATCGAGACGAAGAAATGGGCCTTGGGGTGTGAACTCCCAAACCCCAGGTAATTAATAATACTATCTGAAATAGGGACCATTCCGAACTACCAGTATCTACACTGCCAGTTAAATACTGTATGAAAGCAAACTACTGCCTTTATTAATTTAACAAATATTTTGCTGAGGATCTAATAACTTTGTATGTTAACTGGTTTGATTCACATAGTAACTCTCTAAGGTAGGTATTATCACCCCCATTTTACAGATGAGGAGGTGGGACCCTGAGAGGCTTTATTACTTGTCCAAGGTCACGCAGGCAAGAAGAGCAGTAGATAAGGGTTCCGAACCCAGACAAGCCCGAGTGCACGTGCTGAACCAAGAAATTAAATCACAGAGGAAAGAACGTCTTTTTAAAGGGCAAAGTATTAACTTCTAGTTGGACAGTGGCCCAGTCAAAAGATGGGCAAACTCTAAAGCAGCCCGGGGTTCGGGCCGGAGGTGAGGGGGGGTGGCTGGGATGAAGGGCGTGGCACAGGGTATTTAGGGCAGCGAATGGCTCCAGAGCAATGGACACAGGTCACTACACATTTGTTCACACCCACAGAATCTACGTCACCGAAAGTAACCCTGTCAGCTGTGGACTCGGGGGGTGATGTGTCGGTGCGGGTTCACCAACTGTAACACGTCTTTATCACAAAGGCATAAAAGAGAGGAACAGGATAAAGTTTAGGCCAATTAATCTAATTCTCGCTGATTAATCTCATCAGGGTATTTGCTTTTTTGGGGGGAGGTGGAGGAGATCTGGGCGAACAAGCAGAAACTCGTCTCAAATTAGGCCTTTGTATTGTCGCAAAGGCAGTCTGCGTTCTGGCGGCTCCCTCTGTGTGCAGCATACAGCCTTGAAGAACTAGTTTTCTTTGAACTGATCACCTAAATGTGACAAGGAAGGGGAAAAAATGGTTCGCTAACCAGGTGCGTTTTTGCCTCAAATTTCATTTAATAAAGTGTGTCTGCCGCAAATATTTGGCCAAGAACATCACGAACTAGAATCAGGATGACCAGACGCCATCAGCACCACGGACAGCACCTAAACCTGCACTATTTCCTCTTAAATACCGCGAGAGAAACTTAAGAAATAATTCTGAAAATTACTACGTAAAAAGTTACAAAAATTTTCTTAATATAACTTATATGTGGACATTTTATTATGTCTCTTTTAGCTATAATATAAACATGAATTTATGTGAATTCTGCTTTTCAAATTCCCTAAGCTGAAAGGCCCAAATGAAGGAAGACGCTGACCTGCTAGGAGCCACCCTGCGGTCCTCCCAATACCGAGGAAAGCTCGAGGACAGTCCCTCTCCATCCCTTTGGCCACGGCCTGGGCACCGGCGGCTGTTCCCCACGTGCCCTTGCTCGGGACAGCAGACAGGACCTCCGGGCCACGCGGGCCCTTCGGAGCAGTGCAGGCCCGTCCGAGCTCCCGCTGCGGCCCCGCACCTCAGCCCCGTCTCTTCCCCTCGCAGCGACGGCCAGCAGGCACTTCACTTTCTCTCACTTCCCACCCCGTGTCCCCAAGGGCAGGTCGCCCCAGCCTCTGAGCACACCCTCTCTGTGCACCTTCCCTGCTGCTCCTGGTTCCTTCCCCTTTAGCCAGTGACTCAAAGACCAGCCCAGCGAGGGGCAAGTGGGAAACCAGTCCGCAGCTTGTCCGGGAGAATGGGGCGTGTAGCACAGAAGGACAAGAACTGAAGATCAGGCACTTGAACCCAGAGTCTGACTAGGTTAGGTGGCCGTCACCTAACTGGCCTCTAACCCAATCTCGTTCCCTCTCCTGAAAAGTGATGGTCAGACCGTTTCAATGACCTCTGCACTTTGATTTATAGAGCTGGGTGCCTCGGGGTTGCCAGGTGGGCCGAGGAGGCTGAAAGGAGGGAGAAATCCCTATTTTTATCTTCTGTATTGTGGTTCTGTGTAAAATTTCATTTGGAAAAACAAAAAGTTTACAAATCTTTAGATGAAGTGATCCCCAAGGGCCCTTCCAGATCTAAAATTACATTAGAACAGACTTCCTAATCAATGAAAAAGTTCTTGGTTATAGATTTCTTCTAGGTAACGTCTATATAAGACTCAAAACTGCTTGCTTGGTATAAAAACTATTGTTTAAAATTACCTGGAAGGACACAAGACCACGAGGTCCCACTGTCAAACCAGATGTCCAGGATGTCCCGTCCAGGGACATACTCCAAGGCATCGGGACCACCGACCTGATACGGTAAAAGCATTTTAGTTATACTACAATTGCACACAATAAATACCCAAAAAGTCAAAAGAAAATGCAATGCTTACAACCACAATCCCTCCGTTGTTATTAAGTCCAGCAACACACACAGGCTGTTAACTAGCAAGCGGATGCGTACCTGAGATAAGACTTCTTTAGGCAGGAGCTGCTCGGCGGGGAGTGTCCACCAGACATCGCTGCCATGCTGTTCCACCAGTTTAACAATATGCTTGATGGTCTGGCTATTTTAGGGGACAAGACAGTTCAATTAACTATTGTGAATAATACCAACATTTTAAAATTTAAAAATAGTAATATTTTTTTCCTATCTGCAGGATATTTTCCTATCTTTCCCCCAAACTTGAGTGGTATTCTCTTCAATTACTTGCTCACTCAGCTGCTGCTGTCATCTTAAATTTGATATAAATAATATCAATATATCTTAAAAATAACATTAAATCACATGTATCCCTTACAAGAAGGAAAAAACCACTTCTGTTTCAGTTCTCATTTCCCTATTTCTATCCATCTAATTTCTATTCGAGTACTTCTATATTCAAAACCTCTTAATTCCCCGCCCCCCCCCCAATTTCT